GCCTAAAGTTGTTACATTTTAATCCATAGTCTAGTTTCTCATCTCCAAGGCTAATAAATAACTGCAGAATATATTTAAAATTTTTAATCCATTCTATCTTGGTCTTTTAATTGTAGAATCTAGTCCACTTACATTTAGTGTAATTACTAATATATTTATGTTTATACCTACTGTATTACTTGTTTCTTGTTCCTTTTTCTCTTATTTCTTGTCTTCTTTTGGATTATTTAAAAAATGTTGCCCTAGTCTGTTTGGCTTAGTGGATAGAGCGTTGGCCTGCAGACTGAAGGGTCTCGAGTTTGATTCTGGTCAAGGGCACATGCCCGGGTTGTGGGCTCGATCCCCAATCGGGGGGGTGGGGGCGGGGGGTGCAGGAGGCAGCCGATCAATGATTCTCATCATTGATGTTTCTCTCTCTCCTTTTTTCCCCTTTTTCTCTCTCCTTCTTCCTTCCTCTCTGAAATCAATAACATATATATATATATATATTTAAAAAGACATTTCTATATCTTTGTACAGATATTTATTTTTGTTTAACTACTACCCTTTCTAGTACTCTTCATGTATTTCCATATTTTCAACTAGGATAATTTCTCCTTTCCCTGGATTTTTGTTTAGGATTCTTTTTGTACAAGACTGATGGTGACAAATTCTTTCAGCTCTTATCTGAAAACACCTTTATTTTAAAGGCTATTTTCATTAGGTAAAAAAATTCTACATTGTCAGTTTTTTCACACCACAATATGTTGTTTCATCGTCTTCTGGCTTCCATCATTTCTTTTTTTTTTTTTTTTTTTTTTTTTTAGTATTTTTATTGATTTTAGAGAGGAAGGGAGAGGGATGGAGAGATAGAAACATCAATGATGAGAGAGAATCATTGATGGCTGCCTCCTGCACGCCCCCCAGTGGGGATGGAGCCTGCAACCCAGGCATGTGCCCTTGGCTGGACTCGAACCTGGGACCCTTCAGTCCGCAGGCTGACACTCTATCCACTGAGCCAAACCAGCTAAGGCCTTCCATCATTTCTGATGGGAAATCTAACAAACATCAGTCTTAGTTTAACACAGTACAATGATCAAAATCAGGAAATGAACAATAAAATATTATTTAATCTACAAATCTTATTCAAATTTCACCAATTCTCCCACCAATATTCTTTAGAGCAAGATTTAAAAAAAAATTTCTGGTCCAGGATCCAGTCCATGATCACACACTGCATTTAGTTATCACGTGTCTTTAAGTTTCCTTCCATCTGGAACAGTTTCATAGTCTTTATCTTTCATGATGGAATGCAGGCCAGTTATTTTATAGAATGTCCCTCAGTTTGGGCTTGTCTGGTGTTTCCTCATGATTAGATTCAGGCTATGCATTTTTGACAGGATTACCACAAAAGGGATGTTGTGTCCTTAATGTATTCTAGCACAGGGCACATAATGTCTGTTTGTCCCATTCTATATGGTTAAGCTGGGCCAGCCAGGTTTTTCCATAAGTTACTATTTTTTCCCCTCTCTCTATATATAGATAACTAATTTTGGGGGAGGTGCTTTGAGAATATTTGAGTACCCTGTTCTCAACATCTCAACACACACACACACACACACACACACACACACACACACACACACAAACACCAAAACGTTTACCGAGTTTTTATTGCCTATTGATGCTTTTCACCTGAGCAGTTATTACTATGGTGGTTGTCAAATGGTCCGTCCCTAGGGTTTGGTTCTTTAGGGCTTTCAACTGAAATCCTGGTGTATCCACTAGGAGTCTCCTTTTGAGCAGTCCTGAGCTCTGATCTTTATCTTCTTGGCACTGATTCTGCAAAATTCTGGCCTGCTTTACAGAAGTTCGGTTTTAGCTTTGTAGGTTCGCATCTTTTAATATTTCAGACTTCAGTAAATGGAGGGAGACCTGAACCTATTTTTAAGGTCCCAGAAGCCTTCAATTTTGTCACTCTAGGCTGAAAAACTTTAAAAAACTGTTAATGTCTCTTGTTCCACCTGAAGGCTTGTGCCTGGGGAAAACCTGGATCCTCGGCCTCCTGCCAGAATTGGCAAATGCAAGTGGCTGCAGATTGTCAACTTGCCTCTCCATGGTCCTCTCCTCTCTGCAGTCTTTTCTTTTTTAAAAAATCTTTATTGTTGAAAGTATTACATAGGTTCTCTCCCCCCCCCCCCCCCCGCATTACCCTCTTCCAGCCCACTCCCGCCCCCCCCACCGCCCCCCCAGGCCCTCACCATCCCACTGTCTGTGTCCAGGGCTTACGTATATATGCATAAAGTTCATTGGTTTCTCTCCTCCCACCCAGCCTCCCCTGCCTTCCCTCTGAGGTTCAACAGTCTGTTCATGCTTCTATGTCTCTGGGTCTATTTTTGACCATCAGTTTATTTGGTTCATTAGATTCCACATATAAGTGAGATCATGTGATACTTGTCTTTCTCTGACTGGCTTATTTCATTCTGCATCATTCCCTCCAGGTCCTTCCATGCTGTGGCAAACGGTAAGAGTTCTTTGTTTTTATTGTCACATAGTATTCCATGGTGTAAATGTACCACAGTTTTTTAATCCACTCGTCTGCTGATGGGCACTTGCTGTTTCCAAGTCTTAGCTATTATAAACTGTGCTGCTGTGAACATAGGGGCGCATGTATCCTTTCTGGTGAGTGTTTCGGGTTTCTTAGGATATATTCCTAGAAGTGGGACCACTGGGTCAAATGGCAGTTCCATATTTAATTTTTTAAGGAAACTCCATAGTTTATCACAGTAGCTGCACCAGCCTCTCTATAATCTTCACTTCCTTGGGTTACTGTTGCTTCTGCAACTCCTTTAAGCCATAAAAATCACCAGTTTCACTAGCTTTTCTAGTTGTTCTCACGGGGAGAATCTTTCAGCTACAAAATACTCCATCCTACCAAAAATGCAAGTCCTACACTTTCATTTTTGGGGGCTGCATAGTATTGCATGATATGGGTGTCTCACTTTAAAATTTAACCTCTGCTCTATTTATAGTTGTTTAGTTTCTCATTACTATAAAGATTATTATAACACCCTTGTAGGCATGCCAATATACCTGAGTTCAACTATTTTTACAGGTTAATATGAAAATAGAATTGCTAGCCGAAACCGGTTTGGCTCAGTGGATAGAGCGTCGGTCTGTGGACTGAAAGGTCCCAGGTTCGATTCCGGTCAAGGGCATGTACCTGGGTTGCGGGCACATCCCCAGTAGGAGATGTGCAGGAGGCAGCTGATCGATGTTTCTCTCTCATCGATGTTTCTAACTCTCTATCTCTCTCCCTTCCTCTCTGTAAAAAATCAATAAAATATATTAAAAAAAAAAAGAAAAAAAAAAAAAGAAAATAGAATTGCTAGATCAGAGGGTACGATGAATTACAATTTTCACAGGTATTGCCAAGTGGCTCTCTAGAAAGCCCTCACATTCGTCTGAGCTGAGAGTAAACGACTCATAAATGACCATGAGTAATTTCGAGTGGTCACTAGTCTCTCTGCCCCTTCAGGTGCCTCCAGCCTCAGCCTTCTGTGATGAGTGGGCGAGGTAACCCGCAGATCTGGTGTGTGGTGCAGGGCAGTGCTGCCTGGACCATGTCTTGTCTTGGTACCAGCAATGGATGGGTCGGTTTCTGGCCGAGTCAGTGAGAAAGGGCTGTGAACCCGCTTCCTGGCATAGACCTGGCCCAGAATGCCACATGCATTACTGTGGGCAATGCCAGCCCTGCTGATGAGGGCACCTACTACTGTGCCATGTTTTCAGGCCCGTGTATCTTTGAGAAGGTACCACCTGCTCTATCAGGGAGTCTGAGTACCCCTGCTGTGTAGGACGGCAGTGGAGCAGGTGGCAGTGGCTTGGGAAGGAAGGTGGAGATGGTGGAGCCCCTTGGAGGGAGCTTTGGTTGGTGGTGATGCAGAAGAGAAGGAGGGCTCTGACGAGTGCACTGCTGGCAGGGCGGGAGCTCAAGCATCTTCTACCAGAAAAACCAAACATGCAACGTTTGGGGTGGGTGCTGATCCTGAGACGGCCGAGGCTTCGGCTGGCAGCATGTTCCCTGTCATCGCTGAGCATCTCTCTGAGGGGCCGAGTGCAGCTGGGCCAGGTGCGCCACTTTCCCTTGGGGGGCCTGGGACAGGGAGCTTGAGCCCTGCATCTCAATCCCCGCACTTACAGCAAAGCAGGCGGCTTCTCTAGGACACTGAAGAGTACCAGGTACTAGGCTGCTCCCATTCGGGGCTGATGGCTGCCCAGAGCTCCCTTCAATGAGGACTATCTGCAGCTGGGATTCCTTCCACTCTTCACCTTCTCCCGGCCTCCACTTCTACCCAGGCCCACCGCCTCCTCGGTGACAGCTGCCGAGATGGATTGGAAGTTCTAAGAAGAAACCTTGCGTCCCAGGTTACCCATTCCTTTCTCACTGAACATCCCGTTACTCGAATCCTACTATGGCCGTTACGGCTTTAAGACATCTTTGCTGCCATCTATTCATTAGGCGATTACTTTGAAAACACACAGATGCAAATCAGCTTTGCTGAATGAAGAGGTCAAAGAAAAGGCCCAGCAAGGGTGGCACAGCGGTCAGACCCCAGAGCTGGGCAGGTCACAGGAAGCAAGTGCAGCCCAGCTCTGGACCTCACCTGGAAGGCGGCCACTAGACCAGGTGGCATCCATGTGCCGTAACTGTAAGGAGAGGGTCCAGGCAGGTGCCCTTCCCAGAAGGAGCCTCAGGCTATGGCTTAAACACATCATTAGGATGAATAATTCTGGACACATCAGCCTGAGAGTCACAGAAACCCGGATCTGACTTCCATCTCTGCTCTAAACGTCCCATGGTCTTACTCTGCTTGACTGAACCACGAATACTAAGAACCCAACAGCAAGGTCTGTGAGCATCAGTGACACGTTCACAGTCGGTGCTCCTGGCCCCATGGGCTTCTACAGGCGGAGCAGGTGGGTGCAGAGTCTTCCCAGTCACCACAGAGAAGATTTAACAAGTAAAAACCTGCAAACTCTTTATTAAATTCTCCCATTTCATCTGTACAGAAAAAAAATGCACATTATGTTCAGAATCTCAGTAACATCTCAAAATTACACAGCAAGAACATGTAAAAACAAGGAACTGCAGGGATTTTATACATAGAAAGGAAAACCATTTACAAAAGAGGCTTGTTCATTTTACTTTTCTTTCTTTCTTAAAAAAAAAAGGTAAAGGCCTAAGATCTCACACAGCATGTGCTGCAGTCTGTTTTCCTGCTCGGGCTGACCTGGGAGCACTGTTGGGAGGAGCCACTGTGTCCAGGGCACTGCAGTCTGACCTCAACCCCCCAGCATGTCTGCCATAGGGCCTGCTGGGCTCTGGGTCCAGGTGTCAACCCTACGTTGGGGGAAGGCAAAAACAGAATATAGAGGCACTATCTGAATTTTCTGCTTGCCCAGGGAGAGTTCTCTACTGCACGTAACCCAACATCCCTACCTGTGAAACGCAATGGATTTTGGGAAGGGGGAAGGGGAGGAAACCACCGTCAGGATCCTGTCACCACCAGCCCGAGCAGACCATCCACCTGGGTCTCCAGTGACCTCACTAGATGGCTTGGGGGAACCGGTCACTGAAGAGTCATGACTGATCTGCTGACGTGGTTGCCCTAAAATGTGATTCTTGATTGCCTAGTGGAGAGGAGGAGGACGACGAGCAGTACAGTTAGAGGAGCAGCCAAGCAGACAAACGAGAGAACTTCCGCTCTGGCCCAGGGCCTGGGGAGTCAAAGACCAATGCGGAGGAGTGTCCCGGAAAGCCAGGGCACTGGGGTGCTGCATTTCACAAAACTACTTTGGTGCTGCACAGATGGTGGGAAATATAAAAGGGATCCTTGAGGTTTTTCAAATTTACAAGAACATGAAATACAAATAAACATCATTTAAAAGCCGTATTATTTTTGTTCTATGGCCAAAATTTAGGTTGAACGTGTCAGACTGGGCTGGCTTGCTTCCAGTGGTACCTATTCTAGCTTCCTTCTCCACATCTGCTTGCTTAGTGTGAGTTATATGTGAGGGAGAGGAAGAAATGGGAAGTGAAGGCCTTGGAGGTCAGCTAAGAAAGGAGCCCAGGAAGCAGTCTACCCTCCCTGGTGAATCGCTGAGGTGGGGACTTGGGGCTAGAAGTAGTACCACAGCCTGGGGGCAGGGCGGATGGGAGACAATTCCGGAAGTCACACTCATATCAGGGACTCTTCTCTTGGGAGAAAGTAGGGAAGTCAGCACACAGCTGACACAGCTGTAAATGGACGCTACGACCCGACCGTGAGGCCAGAACATCCACCCTTCTATCCTGTGACCTCAGGAAATGGAAAGAGATGGGGTCTCAGGAATGTTCTGTCACCTCCTCCAGGAAAGCAGCTCTCCCCCCGCCAGCAGCACTGCTCTGTCCCCCAGAAAAGTGCAGGATGGAAATCCCTGAAGGCTGGCAATGAGGTCAACACCTGCTCACTGAACACTAGAGCTCCCCTGGCTTCTAAGGATGCACAGGCTCCGAACGAGCTGACTGGACCCACAGAACGGGCTGGGAGTACTGGCAGACGCATCAGGGGAAGGCAGAGATCTAGAGCCTTTGCGAGGACGCCCATCTCGGCACACCTTGCTAGCAGCTTCTCTTGGGACAGCAGGAATAGTAGAGGGCCAGGGGGGCACCAGGTGGTCTCCTCCTGGAGCCACCCTCTGCGGGAGACGCTCCAGTAGGGGGTATTCGTCTTGTTCTTGATATTTTGCCCAGATTTCTGATTTCCGCCTGTACGCAGTGCCTCCAGCCCAGGAGGCTGCCCTCCTGATGCCTCTGGAATATCGTGGAGCACACCAGGTATGAGTCCCTGAGACACTGGAGAGAGCTGGTAAGGCCAGGGGAGTTACCTGGCTACTGTCATTTTCAACAATTGCCAGGAGCCTTGGCCTTGGCCAAACCCCCACCTGCTGCTTATGTTATTGTTCAGGGGCTGGGCATCAGAAGAGATAAATGCCAAGGTCTGTCATCAGCTCTTCCACTAGGGCCATGGTTCCTCCTTTGCTAATTCTAGGCTAGGTGACTTACTCTCTACTGATCGGAGGCTGGCAACCAGAGTGCCTGTGTATCTGTTTTGTGACACCAAGTGCAGAGCAGCAGAGGTACAGCTGCAGGTGCAGGTGGTGCTGGGCGTGGCAATCTGCCTGGAGTCCCAAGAACCATCACATCAGACTGCTCCAGGAGGCTGGGGAAATGCTTTCTTACAAGCCACTGCAGACAGAGGCAGAGTACCCCTTCTATTCCGACCATCTCTAAAGGCAACAAAAGTTTCAAGAATCAAACTCCTCAAACTTCCAGATCTGCTGCAGACAATGAAGGAGATCGTCCCAGCTCAGAAAGAACAGAAATATGGAGGCATTAAATTATGGAGATGTTTGACATGTATAGGGAGGGAGACTGCAGAGATGAGAATGGTACCGGCCCCTCCAAATGGTGAACATCAATCCAATCCTGTAAACAACACCAGACACGTCAGGGGGCCTGCATTTAGAGGACACCCCACTTCTCGATCCCAAGCCTCAGCAACCTCCACCACCCAAGTGGGAACCCCTGGGGAAATGGTTGGGACCAGCTCAATTTGGCCCAACAGTGGAGGTGGAAGGGGTGTTGCTCAGACTCCCAGAGTTTCAAGTTTTATGAGACGGAAGAGTCTCAGTTGCTGAGCATCAGGAAGACCTAAGAGCAGGACTGAGGGAGCCAAGCTGCTGAGTGGCTCCCTCGGTGACTTGTTAGCCCAGGCAGGGGTAACACACAGCTGGCTTCTGGAAGCCACTGCCTCCAGGAAAGGTCGCAAGGAGAAATGAAAGAAAAAGAAGACCACAGTATCAAATACACGCCAGTCAGGTCAGGGCAGGAGCAACGTGGACCAACTGACCCATAAACTGACCCACTCTGCACTGAACACCTCTCAGGGGAGACGAATGTGAAGGTCCACAGCACACATGGACGGTGGCCAAGGGGGCGGGGGGGAAGGGCGCCATGGTCTATGCAGACAGTTTTAGGCACATGATTTATAACACTTTGTGGACGTCTAACAGGTTAATAAAATATATATTATATAAATATATCTCCTACTGTACACGCCGCCCTCTAGGCAGCCACTGTGACTCCATGCCCCAAGTCAAGCCAGCCGTGCTGGGTAGAACCATGATGCCTGCGTCCTCCCTCTGTACGCTCCAACCTGTCACCTCCACACCGTGGGGTGAGGGAGAGTGGCCAGGAATATTGCTCCCATTAACTCAGATTCTGAAAAGACTGACGAATCCCCAAAGTACAACATTTAGCCAATGCCTTCTACCGTGGGTGTATGCAGCAAACGGACAGAAAGGAAAAGAATGGAGAAAGCCTCCATCTTTTAATGTAAGAACTTTCCACGCCCTCTGCATGTAGAGGCATAAAGGAGCTGTCTAGGAAGGTGGCTCAGAGCCTGCAAAAAGGTCAGGCTGAACTGCAGTCACACCTGAGACCATGCTACATCTTTCTAAGCCACTGCCCTGACCTGCAACGTTGCCTAAAAAATAAAGCAAAGTGAATCAAGCCCTGGCTCCTCCTTCCTCCCCCAGCCCCTCCCCCACATGCGCTGCTTCCCAGCACCTGCCGCCCAGCAGGGCAATCCCCAGGCAGCCGAGCCCTGCACTAGCCTGGAGGAGGGAGGGCACTGGGATTCTGCTGCCTGGGGACCCGAGTCCCGCCTCTCAGTGCAGATCAGCATCACAGAGTTTTGATCTTCTCCCCAGTCCATTTGCCCCTCGCCTAGGGAGGCTCCGGCTTTACTTCACTGAGGTGAGGAGATCGTAGGAATACATATGGCCATGGGGGTCTTGACCAGCAGTGGCTCTTTAGGGTGGAAACTGGAAGGCATCACTGTTTCAGCAGAAGAAAACAGGATCCGAAGTTGGCTGGTTAGTGGTTTCCCACCACTTGGTGAAGTCCATGGCCCTGACATGGCCCAAAGGTGCTTTTGAGAAATGAGCAAGACATCCCAGTTGTAGCATATTGGGTGGAGTGTTTCCCCTTTAACGTCCTGTCTTCATTATACATAGTCACACAGAAGAAAGAGCCCACTGCCCAAATCAAGCTTGGAGGAGGTATGCTACTATATACATTTTTTCCTTTCTTTAAAAACTTATTTCCTGTGTGTGTGTGTGTGTGTGTGTGTGTGTGTGTGTGTGTGTTATTTTTTTTGTTTTTGTTTTTTTAAGAAATCATTTGAGTTGCAGGTCAGATGAGTTGGTTCTGGAAGTACCTGTGGTTCCATTGGTATGAGAGAGACTTGTCTACAGGTAAACCTAAGTCTGCCAACAACGGCGATAACCAAGTGGCCAGCGGCTGATGCTGCACAGATGGCCGGAAGGAGGGACACCATGACATGGGTGAAGTCTGAGATGGGACAATGCAGTGGTACCTGCTGCTGCTCTAACATGGGTGTTTGTTGGTGGCACCTCTGAGAAGAACGAGGTGAGAGGGTACGCTATACAGGAGGTCTGTACAAACTAGGTACTGGACAGACAGTTCCTTTGGTGGCCAAGGTGGCTCTACCTGTCCTTGAGCTCTCGTGTCACTCGTTTGGTGATACGTCCACACATCAGGCCAATCAGGAACAATATACAGATGCTCCCACTGATCACGGAGAGAATGTAGTTCTTTGACGGGGACGTCATCACCTGCATGGCGAGGTCAGAGAAGCCATCCGCGGGGGCCACCTGGAGTAACATACGACAGCATCACCCTCTGAGAGAACCGGGCTGGGGTGGTGCTAGCTCTAACTTGCCCTATCTTGATTCCTAGCTTAATTTATGTCATTTCTTTTGAGGAGCACGGGCAAGGGACAAGAGCTACAACTCTTTTTTTAAATCATAATATTGCATGTATCTACTATGTAAGGTTAGATGGACCTGGAGATGATTATGTAAGTGAAATAAGCCAGTCAGAGTAATACCACAGGATCTCACTTATATGTGGACTCTAATGAACAAAATAAACTGAAGAACAAAATAGAAACAGAGGCATGGACACATGGAACAGACTGACAGCTGTCAGAGGGGAGGGGCCTGGGGAACTAGATGAAAGAAGGTGCAGGGATTAAGCAAAAAACCCCCCCCACATATATATATAACACACAGACACAGACAACAGTGTGGTAATAGCCAGAGGGAAAGGGAGGTGGGAGCAGATGGAGGTGGATGGGGGGGGGGGGGGTAAATGGGACAGAAAGAGACACGACTTTGGGAACGGGTGTACAACGCAGTGTGCAGGTGATGTTTTGTTAAGCTGTACACTTGAAACTTGTATGGTTTTATGAACCAATGTCACCCCAATAAATTCAATTTAAAAATAAAAATAAAGGATCTGTTAAGAACATAAAGATTAGAAAATACAGCCAAACCCAAAGAGGGGGAGTCTCATCACAGCAATCTCTACCCGCAACAAAATAACAGCCCACTGAGGACTGGGCGATGTGCTGGGCCTTGGAAAGGGCTCAGCATGTTTGCAACCAGTCAGCCCTCACACCACCTCGCAAAGTGGGTTTTATTATCCCATATTACAGATGGAGACTTGGAGGCCCAAGGACTAGGAGGTGGTTTAGTGACTTGCAAAAGGTCACAGGTTCTTATGTACTCTGATTCATTTTATTCATCATGTTTGCTGCCTTTTAGAAAACAATTCAAATTGTGTTATATGCCAATTCTTTATCTTGACTTGTTTGCACTCACCATTCTATCTTAAGCACTCCCCCACATCAAAAGTAATGTGCAAACATGATGGACAGGGACTGAATATGCTTCCCCACTTCCCCACTGTGGGCACTGCCATGTAACCAATCTTCACCCTCAGTTTTCCTCACTGCGTTCTCAAATGCGCCTCTAGTAGCTGCTACGGCAGAATCAGAACCGGAAGGCTCCCAGGCACAAACTGTTCTTTAGAGTCTCACCTTAGCTGGGTGCCTGAAAAGGGCTGGCCCCGAGGTGTCTGGGCTGCTTCTATGCTCAGCCCAGGCACACAAAACAGAGCAGGAGGCTTCAGATTAATGTAATCTGAGCGCCAATACTTGTCAATCCAAAGCAAGCAGTGGCAATTCTTCGCAGCTCAAAAGTGGAAACCAGTGCGGAAAGCAAAGGGTAACTTCGTCTCTACTGCCTCAACTAACCAAGGACGTCAAAGCTGACGGTGTTCCCTCAGGAGAAGGAATAAGGGGTGCTTAATCCCTTGCTATTTTGACAGTTATAGTCCCTTATGTCTAGGTATGAAAACTTCCTGTGGTCTTTCCTGCTTGCCTGTTACCCTTGACCTTTAAGCACATGGGTGACGGGAAGTCCTCTCTCTCGATCTAAGGATCATCTATCGCAGCGAGGGAGATAGAAAGAGCGTGGACCTAGAAACCTGACTTTTGCGCCTTGGGCAAGTCATAATTTAGGAAGTCGCAGTTCCCTCCACCATAAAATGAGAGAATAATCATTCCACTGACCTCATAGGTTTCAAGTTTTAAATGAGGTAACATATCCATCAAAGTGATTTGTGAACAAGGCAATGTATACATGAGAAGAATTGTTATCATTCTCTCACTGAGTCTGAGTTTTTGTAGGAAAACCCCCCCCCGGCCAAGTCCGCCTGGGTACCATCCACTTTCACCGGTGTCCTAATGTCTCTCTCCATCCTATGACGCTCTGTGTTCCAGGCTAGCCGAGGGCCAGTCTCACATCCGTATTTTGCTCCTATAGACTGTGCAAAATTAGAAAAACAAGCTACAGCAGGAGTGGCTGATACCTTTCTTTTCTCGTGGGCATGATGTCTAGTTTCTCTTTGCACAGCTGGCTTAAGTCACATCCTTCCTTCGGGTGACTCACTTTTCAGTGGTGGATTGTGGGCCCCTGAGGGCAGAAGTAACAGCCCTGGCAAACCCTAGCAGACACAGCCCAATGCAAAGCAAGACGGTTCTAGGCTCATGGACAGCCAAGGAGGCTCAAAGGTACCCTGACAGATTTTTCTAATACTCGTACTGCTGGCCTCACAAGGACTAGAAAACCAGTGAAGTGCCTTGAAGAGACTGGAAACTGACAGAACAGATGGCCACTTCAGCAGATGCTCTTGGTCATTACCTTCGCTGCGTAACTCCACATCTCAATCCGATCATTGAGGCGTTTCTTGCACTCCGGTTGTAACCTCACCCGCTTGTCCTCCAGGGCCTCCATGAGGCAGGACATTTCTGTGGAAGGAAAGGGATAAGAACAGTCTGAAACCTACAGAACTGAGAGATTTCGGTAAGGTTGGGGGGAAGGCTATCTAACCACCAGAGACTTCAGATCTGTTGGATGAACAAAGTTAAATCCATTCTAGGAAACCTGACCGAAGATGTAACACGGAGAATGATGATATTTCATTCCCACATGGACTGTCCAGTCTCTCCTAAAACCTCTCTTATATTCACTGGGCACACATGGCACAGAAACAACTCCCCACCTGCGCAGGTTCTACCTCACACAAAACCTGTGCACGGAGCCTGATGTGGCCACTGGGGAAACTGACGAAGCTGAAGCTGGACAAGATGGGAAAGAAATCCATGATGGTGGCCTGACTTATGCTTCCCCGAACTCAACTCTCGCAGCTAGGTCCGTTCACACTGCAGATTTATTCCAAAGTTCATTTTGCCACAAAGGCTCTCAAGGGATGTCGTCTGTGGTTGAGCTGCAGCTACAGAACAGAGTAGCTGCACCTAATGTCTCAGGGGGAGTCTTCGCTCCTCCCAAGGCAGTTCAGACAGGGTCAGCGTGTACAGTGACTTACGACGCCCGCGGCCAGGGGTGATGGCTGCGCAGTGGTGTTTGATGTCCAGGGCACAAGCTGTATGAAGAACTGGGTCCACAAAGATGTCTGCTTTGCTTTCCTTCAGCATGTTTAACACCTCCTGGGAAGGGAAGAGCATTGCAGAGAGAGCTTTTGTGGAGACAATGCATCAGATCTGCTGTCTGCAAATACTTTAGGTACAAAGAAGTCAAGGAGAGAAAGCTGAGACAGGCAGCAATGTGGTGATGATGCAGAGAGTGCAGATTTTTAGTAACCAATTTTTTAAAAAGAATAGTTTATTGATTCTGAGAGAGAGAGGAAGGGAGAGGGAGAGAGAGAAACATCAACGTGAGAGTGTAACATCAATCTGCTTCCTCCTGCACACCCCTTACAGGGGATCAACTTGCAACCTGGGCATATGCCCTGACAGGGAATTGACCCAACAACCTCCTGGGGCACAGGACAATGCCCAATCGAGCCATACTGCCAGGGCATTTTAGCATCCAACAAAATTTAATTCAACAAATATACTTGGGGACCTACCTAGCGAAAGAAAAGCTGTTTGCTAAACAAAGCAGGATATTGTAAGATCAGATTTGTATTTTTGACATTATTATTAAATACTAAATGCTAGTATTCATATTGATGTAATATAATTATTTTGTTACTTTAAGAAGTCAGAAAATGTGAATTCTGAAAATCAGAGTAATACGCTATACGAAAATTCCCAAACAAAAGTAGATGTCTGCAAAATGTTTCACTTTACCTCCATTATCCTCAAAAGGAAAAAATTAACTCACAAAGCATAATGCTACTGCAACAATAATTCTTATTTGAGTTTAAAGAAGTTTTGAACAAGAGACTTATAAGCATAACAGAAGTGAAATCAACTCTGCAAACCCTCCAATTGTATATGATGAAATTATAGGAGGTAAAGACAGGCTGGAAATGATTTGTTAAATAAAAATTAGTTTGCTCTCAATAAAGACCGTGGTTCCTGTAAAACAACAACAATAAAAACAAAAACCCAAAAATAAAACTCAAGTCCCCACACTGGGGATCAAGCCCGCAACCCAGGCATGAGCCCTTGACTGGAACTGAGCCCAGGACCCTTCAGTCCTCAGGCCAACGCTCTATCCACTGAGCCAAACCAGCAGGCCACTGAAACACTTTTAAAAAAAGGTCAAATTTTCAATTTTGTAGTATACTGTATGCTTAGTCATATTTTGATAAATTTGTTTTTATGTGATGTTTCTGAAATGAATTAAATTTTTAGTTTGAGTTTTATGAATGCAATGCACTTACTGATATATTGGAATTGACATTTTGCTCTGGTATTCCACTCAGAGTGCCCTTTAAACAATGGCCTAGTCATGGAAATGAGACATTCACAAATAATTAGTACATGTGACAGAACATTTAAGTTATAGGCCATTAATGGTCAAGAGTCAAAGTAAAGTTTGGTAAGAGAGAACAGCATAGCATTCTGGGAAGGAAGGTTTAGATTTTGTCACTAAAACGTGCAGAATGTAGCATTAAAGGAAAAAGGGGGAAGAGGAGAGAAAAGCACGTGGGGGGAGTGGTGATGGCGGTTACCCTTTTGCACATGTCTGTTTTGATTTTGAGCAGGTTAACTTTGAGGCACTCCTCCACTTGACCTGTCTGCTCCTGGGCTGCTGCTTCCTCGGCACACAGATTGGAGATCTGTCCAGGAGACACACAAAACAAGGCCACCCCACTCTCACCAGAAACCTCGGTCTCTGAAACGTGCAGATCTGGTGATCCTCCCACACACATGCCCAGAGCTCCACTCAGACGGTTCCTCCTCCTTCCCCTCCGTCCAGAACGAGACACCAAGCTCCGTTTTTGTTTTCCTTCACACGGACTGGCACAGAGTCAAAAACCAGCCAATGTGCATATCCTCATGCCGTCAACCCCAAGACCTGAGAGGCTGTCCCGGGACTGCTCAAGGACTAGCATCAAACATACTTCCTGATTCCACAGGAGGAAGGTCATGCAGCCAAGTTAATACTCAAAGCAAGTGCTTCACATTTCCAGAGGTTCAGGGTCAACCCAGACTCACAACTCACACACACACACAGAGAAGGGGGGGGGGGACAGAGAGGGAGAGAGAGAGAGAGAGAGACCCGGGAACATAGCCTGTAGCACAGATTAAAACTTAATCTATTTTGGACAGCTTTGAGTAAGCTGTTTGAAGTATTTTTAGCTACGACCCCCTCAAGTTCACATACACTGAACAAGGTTCTCCACTCAGCCCTTTCTAGCTAGGAAGTCAAATGATTTCCAAGGACTGGCACTTCTTTAGAGCTATTATAGGAGCACGTCTATCTTTCTGCCAAGTCTTGGGGTGTTCTGGGTTCCCTATCAGAACCAGGAGAAGGGAAGAGTAAACTATATGTAGAGACATAATAGGAGAATGATTTTGTTTAATAGAGAACTACAGAATCAGCCCTGCATAGTGACAGGACTAATTCCATTACAGAGAACCAGGAAGTTGGACCATGGAGAGCCTAAAGGTGTCCCTTCAACTCACCCTGGAGCCAGGGCTCAGGGAAAGAGAGTAAAGAACTTTGCTCCAATGAAACTTCTCTGACCAGCTCTGTTCACAACCGGTTTCATCCCCAATCCTACCTCATCCGAGCAGTGCAGCTGCAGCTGAGGATCGAGTCGGTAATCCAGAGCAGACTCCTGAATAATAATCCGGATCTGGTCTTCGCAGTCTGAAGAGAGGCGCTACATGTGACAACAGGAGAACATGTCAGGCTGTTAGACAACTTCAGCTTTTACTTGGCCCCTGACGTGGGGAAGGAATAAAAAGGTCTTGGGGCAGCAGGAGCGAGCTGAGGCCTTCCCATGAGAACCAGTGCCAGGAACAGAGGCGGCTCCATGAACACACCTCTGTGGAGAGCCCGGGCCAATTTACCTGGTCAGCATATCTCAGCTTGAGGCAAGAGATGACTTGGCCTTCCAGTTCCGAATCCTCCTTGGCCTTAGTCAGGATACCGTGACAGAATTTAGGAATGTCGGCTTTACAGGCTTTCCTTAACACAGGGTTTAGGCGGTAATCTAGAGCAGAAAGTGTTAAGAACATGATAAAATATGTATTCCAACTGGATTCACAAATTTTTAGAGAGCCACCTTCCAAAAAGGGACATATTATATCAATGACCACAAATAAACCATTGATGTATTTATTCCATGAATGTATATATACTGAGCTCTATTTGTTTTTAGTCAGAAATACAAACCAGGAATCCCTCTACGGGGCAGCAGCTGCTCAGAGTCTGAGACTGATCTTCTGAGCAGTCCTCACAAACATCAACCTTCCCCATACAGTTAGCTTTGAAAATACTGAGAACAGAATATCCAACTCACCTTGGCCATTTAGTTACAAGGTAACTCAGAGATAAAATTTCTCTGCTCTAAAATGAATGACCCATATACTCACCTGCCATATGCGTGAAGTTTTATTAAATCTCTAGACTTTTCAAGAAATCTAGCCCTGATTTCTTTTGTAAGCCCTTCAAAGGCAGTTTTCTATTTTTTCAGCCTCTTCTTTCCCATGGCTTTTGTTCTGTTTTCCTGGATACTATTCAAGGAAGGATTAAGCCCTTTTGCTTACATCCAAGCTCTCCCTGAAAATTCCCAAGCAACAAAGCACCTACAGTTTTATGAGGCATGGATCCGCCCACTCAGTTCCATTAAGTGCGGGGCTTGGAAAGCCAAGCCAGGATGTTACCTGTGTTCTGGGTGATCTGGCGCTTGGTTATCATCTGTTTGCATTTGGGATCCATCAATTCACTGTTTTTATTTTGTTTCAAGCACTGCAACATGGTTTTGGAATCTGCTTCTGGACAGAATCTCTGCAAAGAATCAAAGTTTTATAAAAACAGCTATTCAAACATGGCAATTAACACCATCTGCATCACCTGTATTACTCAAACATCTGTTGAGTAATGACAGAAGCAGCCTGCAGGTATCACTTGGTACAAGAGAAATGACTAAGTGTGAATAAGCATTCAGCCTCAAGCCCTATTCTGTACCTACTTTCCACTGTAGCTCTCACATTTCTTTCTCCTACCTCAGTGTCTCCTAGTTTACATTGGATTGATTCCCTACCCTCATGGCTGTTACATTACGTGGCATCTCATGAGCATAAGTATTATGAAGCATGAATTTAACTGTACCAGGTGGCCAAATATCTACCAATTCCAATGGGAAACTCAGGAATTACCCAGTAACCAGTGTGAACAGGGATGTGTGGAAAGGACCCATCTGGTTTATCTCTTAACTACAGGGCCAGTCCCTATATACTGGTGAGTGTCCTTGAAGTCAGAGCTCCATTTCGGACTAGTAAAAAATTCCATCTCTACCTAATTCTAGTATGGGGATGACATCTGAATATGGGGATGTGAACTGGTGACTGATCTTTATAACAGTAATATCAAGTTTCTGCAAACCCAACCCTGACATTTCCATTTTTACAGAGGACTCAATTCTACCAGGCCCACCAAAAGACTTCTAACTTTCACAATTCTCTTTGGAATTTATTTGATAGGTTGAAAAGTAGCATTTTATCTTAAAGGGAAGCAGAAGTAAGTGGTCAGAACCTTGAGTTTAATCTCTGTATATATGGATAGATCCAGGAACTGATGTCTAGGTTCTCAAGTCGGCCCTGCTGTAGAGAATGCTCACTGCAGAAGTAAATGAACCAAAAAACTTGTCAAATGGAAAAGCCTTTCGATGGTGGTGGATTAATGTCAGGACATTTTGAAGGTGGCTTTCTCAGTATACCACCATGAATCGCCCCCAAAACCAATCATATATTCATTGGACCTCTAGTTATTCGTGGCTCAGGTCCAAGTGAGGTCAGTTATCTTAGCTCAGGGTTTTTTTTAACTTGACGTACATCAGAATCGTCTGGAGAGCTTTAAACCAGACGCTCCACTCCCAGTTTCTGACTCAGCAGATCTGGGTGGGGCCCAGAAATCTGCAGATTCCCTGGGGATGCTGATGCGCTGGTCTGGGACCAGACTTTGAGAACCACATCTTAGCTGTATAAACAATGAAAACGGGAAGATCATATGAATCTCCTCTGACATTTAAAGAGGTTTATGCTACCCTAACCGGTTTGGCTCAGTGGATAGAGCATCAGCCTGCGGACTGAAGGGTCCCAGGTTTGATTCCAGTCAAGGGCATGTACCTTGGTTGCGGGCACATCCTCAGAGTGGGTGTGCAGGAGGCAGCTGATCGATGTTTCTCTCTCATCGATGTTTCTAACTCTCTATTCCCTCTCCCTTATTCTCTGTAAAAAAAATCAATAAAATATATTTTAAAAAAATAAAATAAAGAGGGTTATGCTGTCATTTTCACTCACCCTGTGCTTAGTGCTTGGTTTTGGACCTCTTACCTTTATCATCTGCTTGCAGACCCTCATGAGCGTATAATCTAGTTCTGGGTCCATCATCTCTGTCTCCTGCAGCTTAAAAACTTTCTGGTGGCAACGGGTACTTAGCTGCTTCTTGTTTTCTTTCAGACATTCAATAATCTAGGGCGTAGAGTAATGGTCAAGTTAAGGGGTGCACCAGGATTGATAATCCACGTCTTCTGACTGAAGCATTCAGATCTTAGTACATCCCCCTTTCTATCCAAGTACCTTCCATGTCTAATTCCTAGGTAATAGGAATCAGGGTTTCCTTACCAAGGAGAATTATGTTGATAGATGTGTAACTTCAGAGCTCAGAGTAAACCAACCATATGAAAATAATGAACAGCAGGCTGCACTGAGCTCTAAAGGGAAGGAACCCACTCAGGATCCCTGGCTCCTTTTGCCTTCTCGAGCTGATCCTCGTCAAGATTCCTTCTGAAGCAAACGGGAGGCTCTCTGGCTTTCGCTAGAGCAATAACCCTGACTAGACTGCAGGCACAAGCCAGGAGGTTCAGTTCAACTCACCACTTACCACAAGAGAATAGAGCATTAGATGCCAGGTATAAATTAGACCCAATTCTTACCCCACACAGGGCAAACTTTATATAAACAAACAAGTACAGTAAAAAAGACAAGTGGATTAACATAAAAGCATAAAGTATATGATGCTAAGTGAATAAGCCAGTCAGAGAAAGAAAAATATGATCTCACTTATATGTGGACTCTAACGAACAAAATAAACTGACAAATAAACTAGAGTCAGAGGCATAACTACATGGAACAGACTGACAGCTGTCAGGGGGGGAACTGGATGAAAGAAGGTGAAGAGATTAGCCAAAGAACACATATGAGTAACCCACAGACACAAACAACAGTGAGGTGATGGCCAGAGGGAAGAGCGGGTGCATGGAGTAGCACAGGATGGATTTACGGTAGTGAATTAAGTATATCCTGACTTCTTCCCTCTATCCTCTGTGAACGATGCAGAAGAGAAGCAGATGGAAAGCTGCAGTAGCCAGGGCTGTAGTATAAAGTCACGAGACTTCTGTGAAATTCTCAAGGCACAACCAAGAATCATCAAATAACTGAGGGAAAAGGTAACAGCACAATCAAAACATATTGTTTAATAGCCTCAGAACAACACAGAAGGAAATGCTAAATGATAAGCAAGAACAGGTTATGAAAAGAACCAACCGCAGATCTTGGGAATGAAAACAGCAGAATGGCATGAATTCTGAGACTGAAAAAGCCAACCAGAATAAGGAAGTAAAAAAAAAGAATGCCTAATTATATCACAGTGAAAATACAGATTATTAAAGATAAAGAGAAAACTCAGAGGCAGATTAACTAATAGAAGTGAGAATCAGATTGCCCTAAGACTTTGCGTCAACAACACCAGGGACAAGAAGACAATGAAGCCACTATCTCAAAGGAAAGCTCCATGGCGATGCCCTGAACTAGAAGGGGGCAGTTGAATTACTGGGAGAACATGAAAAAAAAAAAAAAAATCAGAGGGATTGAACAAAAAAGGAAAAAGGGAGAGAGAACTCAAGGACATGGACAACAGTGTGGTGACTGCAAGGGGCAGAGGGCGGAGGTGGAAGAGGGCATAAAGGAGATAAATGGTGATGAAAAAAATAAAGTAAATCTTTGGACTATTCTAAAAAAAATTATTTGCTTGCACTGCATTCCTGATGATTCTGGGTAGGTCCCTGTTTCCACGTATTTTTAAAAAAAGTTTCTTAGGTGATACTTGTGTGGCCGTTAGTGAGGCACTGCAATGGGAACATGGTGAGGGAATAACTACAGAGTTGCAGAGTGCTGGGAAAGCTAGAGAGAGGAGGAGGCATATGAAGGATCATTAGGCAGACATGGAAACTGAAAGAGGAAAGAGAATAAATAGGAGACAAAGAGAAACTTTGGGAAAAGTCTGGCGTAACTCGTGAGAGGATGATTAGGTTGGATAGGATGTGATGAGGCCTATCCCACTAAAGAATTAATTTTTAAAATGTCACCTTCACACACACACAAAATAAATAACGTAAAATGTCACCTTCAAATTACTTTTGCAGTTAAAAAACAACAAAAAGTTACCTGGGCGTTGCCGTATTGCACCGTGGAACAGTAGTTCTTGATGTCACTCTTGCAGGCTTCGTACAGATCTGGTTCCAGACGGATGTCCTCTGTCTGCAGGAGCGGGAACCAGCATGGAAAAGGGAGGTTACTCTGAGCTGGAGATGTCAAATGTTCTACATATTTTTGACTGGATCCTGTCTGGTAACCACAATTTCTACACAGCAAAGTGGCAGGAGAATGGGGATTCAGTTTCAGTTCTGCCACTAGCTAGCTGCATGGCCTTGGACTTTCTCTGCACAATAGAATTTTCCTCTTGTAGTGCACACTGTGGTTGACTTCCACTTCACCTTGGTGATCAGTGCCTGGCACTCCCCTGGAGACGGCTGCTGTCCAGGGGTTGGGCACAGACCTCAAACTGACACTATCAAATTGAAGGGAAAGATCTTTTTTTCACGCTGGGGAAGGTTTCTCTTGTTTTTATTTTCCTGCTGGAGACAAATTTGGGGCAGGTGGCCCAGTGTTGCAGGCAGCCATCATGAGGGAAAGCAGCCTCTGGCAAAGCTGGGGCAAGAACAGCAGAGTGAAAGGAGAGACCTTTGATCCCGCGGGCATTACTATGCAATGACTGTATTGCATGCTTACAGCTGTGTCTTGCTCTGGACTTTGTTTTACACAGTAAAAGTATTTTCTCGTTCAAATACAAAGTAAAACAAGAAGCTGTCATATGGTAAAACTTTAGCCCGATAGTGGCTAAAACCTTTCAATTAGTCCTCGCCCCTCACCCACTTCCTCTCCCCTGCCCCAGGGCTTCTGGGTTTGTGGCTCTGGTTGAGGCATTACCATCTCCAGCTCCTCCACCCGCAGCTGCTTGCGGCACTTCAGGGACACCCTGTGTTCTTTGGCTTCCTGCAGAGTGTCGTTGCGCACGGTGGTGCTCAGGCAGATCACCACGTCCACCCTGCCAAGGGAAGGAGGAGGCCTGGGACTGGCTGGAGCCACCCAAGGGCAGGCGGCTGAGAGCTGGGCTGGGCCAGCACAACACCCCCTCCCAGAACTCATGACCCTTTCACCATGTTTTGAATGCCTTTCCTTTAAGTCTGTGTTCTCAGAACTCTAAAAGCAACAATTTGACTGTATATGTCATAAAAGTTGGGCCACAGCCCAAATGCTGACTATATTCCTGAGTGGCAGGGAGGCCACAGAGGCGAGGACAGTTCAACACTTGTTTTGTTAAAAAACATGTGATCAGAGAGGAAGGCTGCGCTTAACTTGAACCATGGCTTTGATGTACGTCCTGTGAAGCTGATTCCTGAAAAGTACAGAAACCGGAGCAAAATGGGAACTTGGTTTATATGAGGGGAAATAGAAATAGAAATGTGCCTTTGCAAAGTGACAGGGAAGGACTTAGGTAGTCATGCTCCACAAACGCATCACTCTCCTCATTAAGATGTAACTCCTAAGTGAATAAGGTTTTGTTTTTCACTATATCTCTAACTCAGTAAAGCCATTCCTTCCCTGAAGACACGACTGACTGGAGTTATGTTGGGAGGAAGTCAGCTAACCTCGTTGTCACAGTGCTACTTGATCCCAAGTACACAACCTCCATCTGCTCCACCAGTGACATAGCCCCAACTGGGAAAATTAAAAATGCTTCCTTAGTCTACGAGGTTCCCACATCAGAACTACCCCCACCAGTGGAGGCTCAGCAGCTATAAGGATGATGTCCAGACAAGGCAGTGTTTGGCCACACTTTCAGAGGGTGAGCAGGAGGCCTCCTGGGGTACCAGACAGTGGGGGGCTGCCTGACAGCTTGGATATTCATTCAGGAGCTAAGAAGCATTTCAGAGAAGCAGAATGAATCAATTAAAAGCTACATTACTTCTTCTTTATGTTGGGGCAAAGTTTCAGCACATCCTCTTTGCAGGCCATTTTAAACTTGTAGGAGAACCGAAAATCCTTCATCTGCACCTAAAAACAACAATGAAAAAGAAAGTCAGAAGCTTGGAAGCAAGTCCTAACCAGCAGTGCTGGGTGACACTGTTCGTAGTTTGCAGAAGCCAGCCTTCTGGCCTCTGCAGGACTTGTCCTTGTCTCCACAGGCTCTGGAACTGCTAACCTCCCCTTCCTCCCTCTGCTGCACGCACAGCAGTCCGCTGCCATTCCCATCACACACATGCTGTTCCCTCGGCCAAAAGGACCCTTCTCCCAGATCTCCCCCTGGTTTTCTGTCACTGCCTTGGCGTTTCTATTCAACTACCTCCCTCTACAGTCCCTTGCCTCCTTCATCCTCCAACCCTTTCATGCATTATTTTTCTTCACAGGCTCACCTGATTCTATCTGTGTCTTCCTCTTACTAGAACATAGTCCACAGGGCAGGGTTTGTGTGTTCCACCCCAGAGGCCCTGAACCCATTTGTCAAAGGCTGTATGCCCCAGAAGAGGGGAATTTTACACAGATGCTTGGATTGCATCCTCCTGGCAAGAAAATGCTTGCTTTACCAGAAACACTTCCGTTAGACATGTGGTAACAAAGAAGAGCATGACTTAACCTTCTTATTATGACAGATCTGGGTAACATGATTAAGGCGGGGAGGGGGTAAGGCTTAGAGTCCAGTGTATTGATACATATTTGGGCTGCTGCAATGAACAGTGACCCAAAACAGCAGGTCTCACTGAGACTGTTCAAGGAAAGGCTAAAATACATCATGAAAGCAAGGAATGTGACTGAGGCAGGAAATGCCTCCTTACTGTCTCTATCCCCAATGGATTACACACTCCCTAAGGGTACCAACTGTATACAGTCAAACCTCATTTCTGGAAATTCTCCCTCTCAGTTCTCTACCAAGTTGTTTATAGAAAAAATGTCTTTGTTGTCAAACTGACAGCCCTTTATGCTGATACCTCTGCATGACAAAAAGCGTCTCTCAGGCAACAAACAAAGGAGAGAATGCTTTTGTTGCTGGGGAAAGCAATGATTAGCACAGTCTTAAAACATAAAGAGACCATCAAGAGTGCTAATATTGCTAATAGTGTGAAACAATGATCACAGACAACTGGAGAGGTAGAAAAACTGTTGATTTTGATAAACAAAAAACAGTTAGCCAGTGACAACCATTTCTGAGGCAGTAATATATGAACAAAGATGCTGCATGCTGACCGGAAAGACACCACTGGAATGAATGCTAAGTGATTCATTCAAAGCTAATAGGGGATGGTTCGATAAATTTAAGAAAATAAGTGTTGTTTTTTTTTAAAGATTAAACAGTACACTAGACATGTACTATATATAAGAAAGGTTAAAGCAGGGAATCACTGGAGGGTCTGGAATGGACTAATTCAATTTATATTTTTTCTACTGGGAGGAAATTATTTGGTTTTTGACAAATCATTTCTCGAACAGCCTTCAGGAATGCATTAAGTTCGAGAACTGAGGTTCCACTGTATTTATCACTGAATTTTCAGGAGCCTAACAAAGCATCTGGCCATAGCAGGAAAAAAACACATTTATTGAAAACAAGTCAAAATAGGGCATGTATTTGGAGAAAACAATTTTTCACAAGAGCAGTCAAGACAAGAAGGCTCTGCCCAGTGTTACTGACCAGCTGGAAGTGGGTGACACCAATGGCGCACTTCTCATTCATGTCCTTCTGGTGTTTGTTTTGTATCAGACACTCCATCAGGTCCCCGGAGTCTATCTGGTTATCTGCCACATCCTGAAAAGGCAGTGCACATTTACACTTCATTTGTAACAATTAATAAACACATCTTATAGTCTAGTCCATAAAAAATGCAAACAAGGTATATATTAAATTATGTCAAAATAAGCCTGAGAAGTTACAAGGGACAAACATCTAGGGGATAAAATTCACACAGCAAGCGGCCCTGCACGAAGCTCCAACAGGAACATGCACTACGCAGTCAATGCTTTTACTCCTTTGCTTCCTGGTTGTCAGGTCTTCATGGTTCCTGGGTGTGTTTTGCTCCCACAATTAGATAATCTAATACTTGAATAAAGTAATAAAGTAACAGAATTTGCTCAATATCCAGGTACAAGAAGACAGTTGGAAGGGGAAGCCACTGTTACTGCTAACAAGTCCTGCACTGATGTACTGGAAGCAACTCAGCCATGCCCACGGGGCCTTCCCCGTCCCTCTCTAAAGGGCATCCCAACATCTGCTGCGGAGCACAGATCTGGCACCTACAAAGGACGACCAAGTAAGGCCTCCGAGGATGGTGGCATCCCCTCTTGATTTTGTTTACATCTTCAACTTCTCAAAGCTGGCCACTCAGGAGTAACATATGCTGAAGACAGAGATGATACCACACACTTGGGGGCCAGAGTCCTAGTGAACTCAGTTCTATTTCTAACCCTTGATTCTCCAGACATCACTTACGTGGCAAAAGTTCTGAATTATGGGCTCGCAGGCTCTCATCAGCAAGGCTTCTATTTGAATATCCTGTAGAAGATTAAATATATTAATTCTGCCTTAGGAAGAACCAGGGGTGGAAAGGAGCAGTTTATTTCTCTGAATTTAGCAGCATCTGATGGGCAAATAATCTGTTATGTACATTTGGAGACTATTTTAGTCTTTAAGTTAGAGAGCCCCAGCATAGATAGAACTAACTGCACCTCCATTATACATTGAAAGGCAAGTTTGCTAGAAGCAGAATTAAGAAGAGAGGAGAAAAAAAGCATTTAATAATAATACTAGAGTAGATAAAGCCTTTCAAGTTTTTCCAAAAAGCTAAGCAGTTCAAAGTGAAAACAAGGGCAACTGACATCTATCTTTAGTTTATGAGCTCCTAAACCAGATCACTGTCCTCAAACCAAATGATAAACCACTGCCTCTTGGAACACACCCTCAATGCCCTTAAGCAGAGAGTAAGCACTGTATAGTACTAGCTGCTGAAATAACAGCTTCCTTTAAAGAGTCACACACCCCAGAATGTCCTCATAAGCCCACAAGAACAACGTGAATGGGAGAGGAGTTGTCAGAACATGAAAGAAAGCAATAAACCTTTGAAAAATAGAAAGAAAAAAGACTAGTTGAGAAATGTCTAATTTTATGTATTGACCATTTAAAAGAGTTCTAAAAGGCTTGTTTTTTATTTTGTTTTTAAAAGCAGTTTTTGCCCAGCTGGGTGTGGCTCAGCAGTTTAGTGTCGACCCAGGAACCAAGGGGTCACTGATTCGATTCCCAGTCGGGGCATATGCCCAGGTTGTGAACTCTGTCTCCAGTGTGGGGCATGCAGAAGGCAGCCAATCACTGATTCTTTCTCATCATTGATGTTTCTATCTCTCTCTCCCTCTTCCTTCCTCTCTGAAAAAAATTTAAAAAATTTTTAAAAAAGCAGTTTTCTGTTTCCGGGGTCTCTGCCCCACAAAACAATTTAAACATTTTTAGCTGCCTCCCTCCCCAGTAATAAGCTCTGCATTTTAAATAATATACCTAAGAGAACCAAGATGGCGGCATAGGTTAACACCGGAGTTTGCTGCTTTGAACAACTACTTCAAAAGTGAAACCAAAAAACGGAAGGGACATCACCCAGAACCACAGGAACGCTGGCTGAGTGGAAGCCCTACAACTAGGAGGAAAGAGAAACGCATACGGACACTCAGAGGAGGCGCAGTGCTGAAGTCAAATTCTGAGGTGCGGAGTGCACGGAGCGGGCTGGCGGCGGAGGGCGCGGTTGACGTTTTCAATCGGGAGGGAGTCGCAGAATCTGAGCTCCAGATCCGGGCGAGTCTTTAGGGACCCAGACTCAAACGGGAGAAGCGGGACTGTCTGGCTTCGGTCAGAGCGAGTGCAGCTTTCTCTCTGAGCTTTGCAGCGGGTGCTGGGACTCAGAGAGGCAGAGCCCCTGGGGACAGGACTGAGAGCCGCCATAACTGCTCTCTCCGGCCCACCCTGTTGATCCTGTTAGACCCGCCCCGCCCAAGCCCTGCACAGAGGCTTTTGCCGGATAGCCTCAGGCAAACGCCAGATTAGCACCTCCCTAGAGGACAGAAGTTCTCTCACTGCTGACACAGCTGATTCTCATAGCCACTTGGCCTGGAGGTCAAACCCTCCCTGGAATTAGCTACAACAATCAAGATTTAACTATAAGACTGCGAACAAAGACCACTAGGGGGTGCACCAAGGAAGCATAACAAAATGCGGAGACAAAGAAACAGGACAAAATTGTCAATGGAAGATATAGAGTTCAGAACCACACTTTTAAGGTCTCTCAAGAACTGTTTAGAAGCCGCCGATAAACTTAATGAGATCTACAAGAAAACTAATGAGACCCTCGATCTTATATTGGGGAACCAACTAGAAATTAAGCACACTCGGACTGAAATAACGAATATTATACAGACTCCCGACAGCAGACCAGAGGAGCGCAAGAATCAAGTCAATGATTTGAAATGCGAGGAAGCAAAAAACACCCAACCGGAAAAGCAGAATGAAAAAAGAATCCAAAAATGCGAGGATAGTGTAAGGAGCCTCTGGGACAGCTTCAAGCGTACCAACATCAGAATTATAGGGGTGCCAGAAGATGAGAGAGAGCAAGATATTGAAAACCTATTTGAAGAAATAATGACAGAAAACTTCCCCCACCTGGTGAAAGAAATGGACTTACAGGTCCAAGAAGCGCGGAGAACCCCAAACAAAAGGAATCCAAAGAGGACCACACCAAGACACATCATCATTAAAATGCCAAGAGCAAAAGATAAAGAGAGAATCTTAAAAACAGCAAGAGAAAGAAACTCAGTTACCTACAAGGGAATACCCATACGACTGTCAGCTGATTTCTCAAAAGAAACTTTGCAGGCCAGAAGGGAGTGGCAAGAAATATTCAAAGTGATGAATACCAGGAACCTACAACCAAGATTACTTTATCCAGCAAAGCTATCATTCAGAATTGAAGGTCAGATAAAGAGCTTCACAGATAAGGAAAAGCTAAAGGAGTTCATCACCACCAAACCAGGATTATATGAAATGCTGAAAGGTATCCTTTAAGAAGAGGAAGAGGAAGAAAAAGGTAAAGATACAAATTATGAACAACAAATATGCATCTATCAACAAGTGAATCTAAGAATCAAGTGAATAAATAATCTGATGAACAGAATGAACTGTTGATTATAATAGAATCAGGGACATAGAAAGGGAATGGACTGACTATTCCTGGGGGGGAAAGGGGTGTGGGAGATGCGGGAAGAGACTGGACAAAAATCGTGCACCTATGGATGAGGACAGTGGGTGGGGAGTGAGGGCGGAGGGTGGGGCGGGAACTGGGAGGAGGGGAGTTATGGGGGGAAAAAAAAGAGGAACAAATGTAATAATCTGAACAATAAAGATTTAATTAAAAAAAAAAGAACATAAAAATAAATAAATAAATAAATAATATACCTAAGCTTATGAGGTTTAAATTTTATTTGTCTATTTTAGTGGATTTCAGGATGGAACAAGGATAAACATATGTATTCAATCCTCCATGTTTAACTGTAAATCCCAGGCTTTAATTTTATTAAACACACAAACATTAGCAAATGACCTAATTGAAAGAGCTGAAGATAACAGGAATGTTATACTCTTCTTGAATATGATTAAGAGATTTAAAATACAGCTATCTTTTCTTAGAGGGGAAAGAAAAGATTGGTCTAATCACAATGATAAATTGAATTTATGAAGTAAACCAAAGAGCTAAACAGATAGAGTTTTTCTGGAGAAATGAGGAAAGGGTGAAGTTCAGGAAGCATCACAATAGTCTTCCTTATAAAGCAAACAGAAAGTGACAGGTTTCTTTTGTTTTCCAGAGAATCTGTATTCTCAAGACTCTAGAAACAGTAGGACTAAGAACAAAGAAAAGGCTGCTGACAGGGCACTTTCTTTCTAAGCGCTGCAAACTGCTTACCTCCGATTCTAACTCGGTGAGGTTGCCGACCAGGTCTCTGCACTCTACGGCCAAGTCATCCAGATGGTCCTGGAGGCATTCAAGCTCCTGCAAACAAAAAGCAATCCCTTGGGGTTTGTCAATTACACAAATGATCAAGGGAAGCTGAGATATCAGTGTCTACTTCCTTTTCAGTGGTCCTTCTTTTCTTTTTGTTTTAAAACTACTTCACTGAACAGAACACTAAAGTTTTACTTATTTCCCATATTGGGATGGTTGGAAAGATAACTACTTGATGTAACAGGGTGGTTAAGAGGGTTCAGCCATGTGAATCCTCCAGAAGGCCAAATCGAGACAACCAGCAAGAATCAATGTTCAGGTGTCCTCAGAGTCTAAAAATCTTATCAGGCCTTTATTCCATTCCATCAATACCCTGTCACTCCATTTATTTCTGTGTTTTGATTAAGATCATTGGACAATAAATTCACAGTGAAAGACATGAACTATTTTAAGACTCTTTATGGGCAAAGTACGTTGAGACCCAGCATCTTCAACACAACAAAGAGCTGGAAGTTCCTGCAAGTCTGGCATTCTAACTCTAGCCCACATAAGGGACCCTCTGAGGGAAAGTGCCAAACAAGTGAGCACACTAGGGCTTGGGTCTCTAAAAGCTGTCTTGTCTGGGCTTTGGAAACAGCTGGAGCTACCTTGTAGCATCAGTCTATTACCATTTCTTTTAGAAATTTAGAGGCTGTTAAGTATTAACACCAGTTCATTTTTTCAAAGCACACCAACAGCTATTTCTCAGTTAAAGGACCAAGTTTAACTTACTATTTTGCAAGAATCTCTATTTTGAAATTAGAATGGGAAGGAAGGAGAAGGGCTGTAGGAATTATACAACCCTAAAGGAAAATGCATAATACTTTTGGGAGAAAAATAAATGGCTAAGGGAAAAATCCCATTCATGGAACCATGTCCTAAGTTTAGCTTCACAATGCAGCTTTCTCAATGTTACTTTACAGGAAGTATGAAAAGAAACTGTTTCCTGGGATTCGGTATGACCATATCCCTTGTTTCATTAGACAGAGGCAGCAGAAAGCAAACAAAAAGCATTTTCTAACAATAAACTAGACAGAGCTATAGTAGGCCCAGAAAGCAAACTGCTAAAAATGACATTCCCAGGCTCAACAGATCTGTGTAAGCAGCCACTGCTTCCTAAAAACGTCTAATTCCTGCACCAGTTTAATCCCAGCGAGTGTTCTGGAGTGGTGCAAATGGACCTGGAGACCTGGGTTCACGCCTTGTTCAAGTACCAACGGGGCTTTAAACAAGTAGCTATTCCTCACTGCTTGGCTTCCCTGTATTGAGATAAAAGACAAGCCACTTTCCCACTTAATTTGACAGAATGTAATAATGTACCTCTTTCCTTTTTTTTTTAACTAGGCATAAAACCCTAAGGAACCATTTACAGGATGCATGTAATTCTTGGGGGCTGCTCCTTCTCTATACTTCCTTAGGGAAGGCGGTTACAATATAATGAAACAAATGCCTGGCTAGGAATAGACCTTAGTTTTAGATAGGGGAGTCAATATACTTCACTTCTCTGAGCCTCAATTTCATCAATTATTCGATGGAGAAAGTCCATTCCTACATATCCTGTAGGACTGTTGTAGGTCACGCACAACATTCATGCATACAAATATTTACATGTATTCCTCCCTCAAAAAGGCTTAATGTGGCTTGTAAAAATGGGGGGGGGGGGGGACAACAAAATAAAATGAATAAAAAAATGAGTCAAAAAAGAGGAAAGGAGAGGAAATTATGTTAAAGAAAGTGGGATGGAGCAAGTAGTAAGTTAGTACATAAAATGCTTACCACAAAATCTTATATATTGCTAGAGGCAGGCATACCTTTCTTTGACTCTAGGCTTTTTAAGAGGCAACACAAAGAGGGAAAACAATCAATTACAAAGTAATATAAAAACAAACTAAATGCTTAGGGAAAGTATAATTATTCTTGATTACAGAGACCAAACAGAAAATTTCCCCAAGGATTTCTTATAGAGAGATCATTAAGTAATATAACAAATTATGTCCATGAAGTAAAGAGAAATGGATTTTTCGGGGGTTTGTACTCTATATAACATGGTAATCATGAATATGATGATGATGATGTCACCTACCTGTCCGGTCTCTGTTTTCTCACTGCACCATTTGCCCAGGTCAATCAGGCACTTATCCTGGAGCGCAGGATCCAGCTTAACATCCATGGCACGCTGATGCAGGATCCTCTGGACTTCAGCTCGGCACTCCCGTGAGAGCTACGTAAGAACAAGCAAAGCATTCTAAAGGTACCAAAACCAAGACACCTGATAATGCCAGGAAACTGACAAATAACTTTATACCAGGGATCCTCAAACTGCGGCCCGCCGAAAACATTTATCCGGCCCGCCGGGTGTTTTTGCCGCCGCTGCCTGTCCTGCTTAGCGGCCGACTCGTCCCGGGCCCGCAGTGCGCGTGTGTGAAATGTCTGAGGGACAGTGAACTGGCCCCGTTTAAAAAGTTTGAGGACCTCTGCTTTATACCTTAAATCTTTTCCAGAATAATAATTAAATGTTCTAGGAAGTTTCTAAAAACCTACCCTTTTTGGAATGAGATTATACATTGGGCCTATTCTAATATATTATATGAAACAACATCCTTTTTTTAGAATATCCTAATAAAAAGTGAACTGAATTTGTTTAGGTTACATTAGAAAGTTTCTGTTCAGCAAGATTAATTTGCTATGACTCCAAGAATGTAGAGAATGTTGGGTCTAATTCAGGAGGTTAGGAGAACTGAGTTCAAATTTACCTAAACTCAGACAAGCAGATAACAGCAGAACCAACAGTCACCACAGGTTAGAATCAGACTCTTCCAGATGAGTTAGAATTAGAAGAGGGTGAAACAGATAAAAACTAGTATTTTTGGAAAGGTTGTGAGAAAGCGGTCATTGACAGGTAAAGATATTCTCTCTTCCTAAAAGGGCCATGTGCCTGGGGTGGCGGGGGAGAGATGGAGAGTAACTGCTTAATGGACATGGGTTTCTTTTGGGGGACATGGAAATGTTTTGGAATTAGATATTGTGGTTGCACAACTTTGTCACTATACTAAATACTAGAGAGTTTTTCTCTTTAAAATGGTTCATTTTATGTTAGATGAATTTCACCTCAATTTTTAAAAGAAATATATATTTTAAAAAGACAGCTTCCAACCCTTTGTTTGTAAGACAGGTACCTCCTTCTATAGTAACTACCAACATGCCAGCTCCTGTGATTAATGACAAGCTCATCATATGAAGAAAAAGGTAACAACAATTCCTATATTTTCTTACACAGCAGTATAAAAGCTGGGTTAAGACTGCAGTTAACTGAAGTACAACCTTTCTTTCTACTTGGGTCTCCTCATTCTGAATCCTGCACTTAGTCAGACTTCTGCATTAAGCCCAGAAGGGGTATTTGTTAACATGCATGTGAAATAATACCATCTCTATTTCCTGTAACAAATGCAGGACTGAAATGCAATCAGTACCTCAGATGGCTTTAAAAGGTCATCTGGGAGAGCAAGCAGCACGTCAAGTGGCACCAGAAGGCAGTAAACGTTGCCCGAGAGCCAAACCCACCCAAATACCACAACAAGAGGTGGCATCCAGGGCAGACAAATACCAGGAGCCTGGGCTATGGCGGTTTCTGCTCCACACAACCACTGTGCTAGGAGAGAGGCCTATTAATATAGGCGATATGTGTTCTCATGCCAAGAGCAGGAGACCTAAAACAATTTGTATCTTGGCTAAGAGCTTCTAGTGGATCTTTAAAGCTAAATAATGTTGGGGGCAGCAGAACTTAAGTGTGTATTTGTGATTTAGATTTTGGTAATCTAAAGAAAAAACTGGAAACATCCTGACTCACTTTGTTAAAAACATAAAATCAGGCAGAAAGAAGCTGGTAGGACACTCTGTGTGCACTCACTGAATGAAGAAGTTTTTGGTAGTGTAGCAACCCCTCCCCCCCAGATACACAAATAACGAAGTTTTCCTAGGATGCCAGAAATCAGAACAATATATAGCAAACTAATTAAAAAACAAATGACAAGAAGAAGAAATGAAGTCAATAGTGACACATACCCTCCTGCCCTGCTCCTCCGTGCGGTAGGCATGTCTGTACAGGCAAGAGAACACAGCTCCAGGAGGCATAAACTCACTGGTTTCGTTCCAGCCGTGGGTGTGGCAGAGACGAGATGCATCTCCCTGGCACTTGCGGTATAAGACAGGGTCCAGTCTGTAGAGTTAAGAGTTAAAAGATAACCACTCTTACTATACCCTTCCTTCTAGCACATGCTAAGGCTCTTACAATGTGCTTGTATGTGCATTAATAATCACCTCCAGCCCTGGCCGGGTGGCTCAGTTGGTTGGAGCGTTGTCCCATACACTGCAAGGTTGCAGGTCTGATGTTGGTCGGGGTGCATATGGGAGGCAACTGATCAATGTCTCTCTCTCTTCTTTCCTCTCTAAAATTAATAAAAACATATTTTCGGGCGAGGATTAAAAAAATAATAATTTTAATAATCATCTCCAGGGTAGCGGAAACAGCAGGTAAGCAAAAGTATATTCTTGAATTTGTTCTTTGTGAAAACACAGTGGTCAATGGGCAGAAGTTTGTTAACCTTAGTACAGAAGATTTAAGTTCTACCTCAAAGAGGTTATCTTGGCTATGAAAGGCACACAACATTTCAGTAACAGACTCAGCACTAGCATGCCCTGGCTAAAATGAGAAAATAAGGGTTGTAGCTATCAGCAGGCAACCCACAACTTCTTACTCAATACTTTTTTCTAAGCGTATATGAAGTTCAATCCTACCTGATATACTAGATTTGGTAAGAGCAGGAAATGGTAAGATAAACAGAATCTCTAAAAAAAAAAAAAAAAAAAAAAAAAAAAAAGATAAACAGAATCTCTCATTCAACTTCCTTTCTAGTAAAACTGTTCCTCTTCTATTCCCTATGCAAGGTAAGACCATTAAAATTTAGTTTACCTGAATATGCTTATCAATTAAAAAAACTTGACATTTAACTTGGACTCTGGAGACAGTGCATTAGGCAATGAGCCTGCTGCTTCTCCGACTGAGATCAATGAATGCTTAATTCTGTCCACGTCATAAAGTCAATTTTGAGGGAGTGCTACTTAGTGGAAGGAAAAAGGCTACTAATATTTAATGAGCAGCTTTTATGACTATGAAGCATCTTTTGATCATGGCTGAAGGAATTACAAAAGAGGAAAAAACATGATTTTGTTAAGGTAGTAAACTCAGTAAACTCTGCTCTTTCAGTTTAGATGGCCTGAGTAAGCACAAGGAAAATTCCCACCCAGCTTTCTGTAGTATTTTCCAGAGAAAATTTCAGGAAACAGAAACACACTGAATTTTCAAATAGTCTTTCTAGTAAAGCATGTGGGTAAAGCATCCATTAACCCCCAGAAAAAGTTAATGACCAAAGCACAGTGGCTTAAACAGCTGGGGCAGGGAGCAGCTGAACGCGGGAGCAGAAGCAGCCTGATCCTACTGGCTGCTCTGGAGGTGGGAAGGGAGAGTAAGACCTGGAGAGAGGAGGGAATTGCAGCCAATAAGTTACAGTGGTTCTGATGGTAATAGGTCCTTCTTCTATCTCATCTCTTCCCCCTATTTTTTGGCTAACAGGATCAGAAGAGAATCAAGCTGTTACTTATTGATAAGAGCCTCTTAAGATAGAAGAAATTCAATAACTTTGAATAGTTAAAGAAATAAAAGCAAATTCCCATACCCGGTACAAATCAATAAAAATAAAAATGTTACTATTGTCTACTTAGAAACATATCTGAAGATACTATTGCTGCCCCAAAGGTACCCAAGTTCTCTCTGGATAGATGATGTCTGTGGTATCAGAAACATTTGATCCTGACTTCCCAAGTGGCAGTGAAGCCCCGGTCAGCATGGCTCAGTGGCTGAGTGTCGACCTATGAACCAGGAGGTCATGGTATGATTCCTGATCAGGGCACAGGCTCAATCCCATGTGGGGCCTGCAGGAGGCAGCCGATCAATGATTCTCTCTCATCATTGATGTTTCTATCTCTCTCTCCCTCTCCCTTTCTCTCTGAAATCAATAAAAATGTATTAAAAAAAATAAAACACAAAGTAGCAGTGAATGGGGACACTTAGGGACAAATTGCAGGGGCTGCCTCTGTTTTTAGATACTGTTCTGAGAGTAAGAAAGAGGTTTTTCGGGGATTAAAGTTGTTGGCTATCGCAGAAATTAACAAAAACAAATTCCTATTGATTATTTAAAAAAAAAAAAAATACAAGGGATATTGACTACACAGGAAGCAGGCTGAGATTTTACACTTACACTGGTTTCAAAATACTCACTTCCAATCTCGGGAGATAAAATACTGTAGCTCTAACAGACGGTGTTCACAGTCTTCTACCATTTTCTCTGTGTATAAATGTTCCATCAGGCACGAGAGGATCCTGAGCATAAAACAGGGGTGAAATTGCAACATGAGACAGAAGAGTTCTGACAATATGTGCAGAATTCTCACATTAGTATTCCCTTGGTCTAGAAAAAGCCATTCTGCCATTTCCTAGGGCAATCAGGCACTTACTCGCCCTGACAGAGATTAAGCCTTCTATCAGCTTGAGTCACTTAGCACTTAGGACTCAGCCTGCACAAGATCCATGTGTAGCTGCTTTATTTTTAACTGTTGATTATAAACATTTTCCAACACACACACCTTTCCTTTGCATAGCTTTATCTTCCTATGGCCCAGGTTGTTTTAACTGTCCTCCCTTGCTGATATTTTGAAGCAAATCATTCCATTGTAAGTGCTTTAGCATGTTTCTCTATAATGAGAATGTAATAGCATTACCTACCAAAATAAATTAATTTTAAAAAATTTCCAATTATTTCATTCCTTTTTACATGTTCATTCAAATCAAGACGCAGAAAAGGTCCACACATTGGATTTAATTGATAGTATCTTAAATCTATTTTAATCTGCAGTTTACTTCTTCCTCCCTCTCCCTTGCCCCCTGTATAGTTAATGCAATTATTTTTATATTGGTAAATATGCTTAATTAGTCTTAAGTGTGTTTGTCTATCTTCTCCAACTACACAAAAACCTTTATGGAAGATTATCTTGTTTTAATCCCCTCCCACAGCAAGCACAGCAGGAGTGCCTGCACAGCAGGACAATGACAACAGGTCTGCATTCATTTTACTGTTGGGAACTGCCCGTTGTAGGGTATAAAGATTTTTTAAGAATGGGAAACCTGTTCTTACTTGCAACCTGCTTTTAAGAGCTCTTTGCATATCATATGGAAGAAAATGAATGCATGTGATTTAAATATTTCGTTATAGAATTTTACAGCTTTCCTAGGTCTTGTATACAACCTCAGAGTTCATTTTGCCCATGATTCCCCTATCCAACTACCACATTTTGTTTTATATTTCAATGAAAATTAATTACTCTCTGATGGTGATCAAGTAGCCAATATACAAACAGGATGAAAAGTATAGAGTGACCTAACGTACAGGCCCACCTATGCTCAGTCACTGTCAACAATATCATCACAATGCTGGGTTTAGGGGCCTCCACATCACGGACGAGGCAGAGCTGACGTCTTAATTCCCATACTGGTTTTGACAAAGGTTGGTATGAGTTGCTGTTTAACAAAATTCCAGTTATGATGTTGAGGGAACGTTCCCTGTGCTACACTGCCAAATAAAATACAATATGGATAAATACCACAAATCACATAACCTACATTGGGTCTCCTGATCGTATGTGTTTGCAGGCGGTCTGTATTACAGATTCACAAGCTTCATTCAAAGCTCTATCAATGCGGTAATCTGCACCAGGGTCAGTCTCCTGAATCAGTGTTTGAAGCTGGATTAAAAAAAAAGAAGAAGAAGAAGGAAGAAAGTAAGTCACTTACACATCAGGGAAGAGCAATGTTACCGCTTCATACAATCAGTTACGAAGCCTGGCACATCACAAGATACTACAAGTGTCACTGGCCAAGTAAAAGAGCTCTTGCCCAATCCTTTCCAACTGGTTTCTCTACCTCGTTGATCGAGTTTTCCTGTTTAAGCTATTGTGAGGATTACTTGCCTACCAGTCTGAATCATCAATGGACATCTGCAAAACCAAAGGTCTTTACAATACAAAGGCTAACCTTTCCCTTATATCTGCCTATGTAGTAATCAGATGACTAAATCTGACACTTAGAGGCCAAGCAAGAATTGAGTGAAGAGTAAATAATTTCCAGTTAGAAACCTACTTTGGCCCCAAGAATCTAAAATTTAAATTTTGCTGCAAAGACACCGGCATTACAACAAGCATACTCTGCTTTATTAAAGATAGATGTGAGATTTCATTTAGCTTGCAAGAAATATTCATTACAAAAAAAAAGAATATAATACTTATGATCTCTTGTTTGTCCTCAACTCTCATTTATATAACAAAGGGGTAATCCAGAGCTAATAAGTATACAGAAAAATATTAGTCATTATGCAGCTGAAAATGAGAGTACAGTCTTTAACATTTACTTTTGCTTGGTCCACGCTTTATCATGAAATAAATCAAAAGTATGAGATGTGGCCTAGATTTTTCCCCTCTCTTTGAGGAAAAAGCAGTTGGGGTACAGAAGAAACAGTTCTAAATTAAGGAACAGAGACCTGAGTTCTATTAATAGCTCTGGCTCTGCCAGGTATTAGTGTTGAGAACGTGGGCACGTTGATTAACCTTTAAGTTTCAGTTTATTTAACTGCAGAGGATTATAAGAATATATAGAAGGTTATATAAACTGCAGGCATTTGATAGGTATAAAAGATCATTATTACTACAGATGGGTAGCAGATGGTGTTTTGGGGTGGGAATCTTGAATAACAGAGAGCACATCTGAAAACTATAATCCTGGTTTGGGTTCCTTTTTTCCAAGTTAAAGACCTGGAGCCCTTTTTGTGTCACAGATTTAGCCTTTCTCTGTAGGAGCTTTCTCTGATCCCCATACATTTGACCTATAATACCACAGGGGCTCTAGGAAAGTACTAACCCCATCACATATTGATCAGAACACAGAACAAAAGGAAATGAACAAAGAAAACCCCATCCTATCTATTCTAAAATCAGTCAATACTCAAGATGAGCGATACATGAAAGATTTCCAGTATTCTGGGATGAAAGTTATTTATACCAATTCTTGGTGGCAATTTAGAAAAGCTACGAAATGCTGTGGGTAGTTGGTAGGAAGATTACTGTCAAAGGATTACTGATTTTAGTAATGACATTTATTGACAAAGAACAAATATTTTTATCTTTTTCTGAGGGAAATTATAAGCATCATGGGAGTCTGAAAGTCTCTGCAAGAGCTGTATTAAATATCTATGATTCATGACTGACAGACAAACCTGGAGAATTCACAATGAATGCACCAGATTGCAGCTACTAAAAGGAGGCAATGAATGCCCTACAGATTCTAGTAGGCTAAGGACTCAAGAGATCACTGCACTCTGGAATCCAGTGACAACAGTGTGGGAAATTAACGCTAAGAATGTAAATTTCTACATGATTATACATCTACTCCAGCACCTGACTGCTTAGGAAAATCCTGGGGAAGTGCGTCTGGGAAATGATTAGTCTAGAGAACAGACTGGACAGTCACCTCTGGCCTGGGAGAGACTGGGCCCAGACTCATTCAGCCATAACCACAGAGAGTTTAGTAAGCTCATGATTATGGTGCATTTGGCAAAGTATGTACTCATTAAGGTAACACTTGCTTTTATGCTTCACAGTTTACTATTTGTTAAGAGATCACTAAATCAAAGCACAGCCAAGCAAAGAATAGGGAAAATCAATGGTTAACCACAGACAGGTATAAAAGTCTACTGTATCAGGGAAGAAAACTTTGAAAAAGAAAGAAACCCATCCAAAATATATTATTTCAAAGCATTCCTCCCTATGACTGAGGATGGATAATGTGGTGGAAAACGAAGAAAAAATTATTCCTTTTCCTTCAATTCCTAAAAACCACGAGTCCATAAAAACCCAAATAAAGTGTTTGTTTCCCACTTGGCTAAACTTAATGTGGGCAAAGCCACATAACTCACTATTTAAGGCTTGCGCGCTGGGTTGGGAAAGCACTTTATTCTGGGCACAAGGACGAGGCAGGCGTGCTTATTTATCCTTCAGGTGTTGAGTCACTCACTAGCTCTTTCATCAAGCTAAATTTCAGAAATCCCTGAAGGTTAGCTAGATGCTTTGAACTAAAGTCTAACCAACCTATTTTCTTTTTTCTGTACACCTTAGTACTAGTGTAGCCTCAGTAAAGAATATATAGGTTTATTCCTAACCACCCCCTCCCCTTCCCATGCAGCATTAAGGATAAAATGCATATATAGGGTATCTTGATCAATTCTTGGTCTGGGGCTCAGGCACATACATTGTCACAGAGGTTTCTTTCCTCGGACAATCACCAGCAAGAACTGCTTCTGAGGAATTACATCCAGAAGCTAGCGTTCAGTCTCACTAGGCTTGGTATTTTGGGGAAGAGACTACATTTGTTGACTTTTCCCACCATGGGAGGTATAATTACAGTCTACTCTGGGTCATGGTAATAGGAGCTAAGGTGAAATTTTATTCCAAATCAAAATTCTATGGAAATTTGGTGTTTTGGACTAAAAATTGTGATTTCAATGATTAGCAGAAAAATACAAGTAATATACAATTTTTAATAAAAATGCAAACAGAAAAATAAAAGACTAATGAATTATGGTTTTTTAAAGTTTCTCTGAGGACAAAGCCTCAACTTTTGAATTTAATGAAACAGAAACAGAGGCATTATATTTATAATATTTTAAACTTTATTTATTATTATTTTTAAAATTTTTATTCATTTTAGAAAGAGAGAAACATCAAATTTGTTGTCCCACTTATTTATGCATTCATTGGTTGATTCTTATATGTGCCCTAACCAGGAATCGGATCCACATCCTGGGCATATCGGGAAGATGCTCTAACTAACTGAACTACTGGCTAGGGCTTAACTTTGCATTATGTATTGGAATTCTAGTTATTAACTGCTTATGAATCCTGCACAAGAATAACTTTATCTCCTCAAGCCAAGTATGCTGCTAATTTTTTCTAACTATCTTTACAGAACTGATTGTAGAGTTTGGAGGTAGAAAAGAAAGGCCCTTCCACATACAGTTACCCTAGCCCAGTGGTCGGCAAACTCATTAGTCAACACAGCCAAATATCAACAGTACAACGACTGAAATTTCTTTTGATAGCCAAATTTTTTAAACTTAAACTATATAGGTAGGTACATTGTTATTAACTTAATTAGGGTACTGCTAAGGCTTAGGACGAGCCACACTCAAGGGGCGAAAGAGCCACATGTGGCTCGCGAGCCACAGTTTGCCAACCACGGCCCTAGTCTAACAAGAAAAGGTAGTATAATTTGAAAACAACATGCTTTTTTGATCCTTCAGGCCTGGAATTCATGACCTGTCATACATCAGCAATAAAAAGAAACAGAAAATTCCAATTCATTTCAGATCTTTCAGCCTCAACTCAATTAAACCCACTGAGACAGGAAAATTCTCTTTTGGTGGAGGACCTTTGCTGAGGTACTAGAAGTTGGTTTGCCTTGATTATGAGTTTAGTCAATCCAATCGAGCAAGTTACCTTAAAAAAATTCTAGCAAACAATGCATTTTATCTATTTCTTTAAGTATATAGCTCTTTTTATTGATTACTAGAGGCCCGATGCACAAAATTTGTGCAAGAGTAGGCCCTCCTTCCCACGGCTGCCGGTACTGGCTTCCCTCCAGGACCTGGGATCCAAGCCTCCCTTTGGCCACCAGCAGGCACCTGGGACCCGGGCTTCCCTCACAGCCCTGGCTTCATCTGGAAAGATGTCCGGTCTAATAAGCATATTACGCTTTTATTATTATAGATGAGCTCAAACTTCTGCTCTGCAGCAAAATCCACATTCTTACAATGAAATGCCTGAAGAAACAATATTCCATGTCCGATACTCACTGTGATATCATAAATGATCCAGATACAGTTGGGACAGTGTCAGGAAGAGGCTCTTCAGCTGATAAAATGTGACATTCAAAATGGCAGTAGAAAAATTTTCCTTACCGCCTGCTGGCAGTTAATTCCAAGGTTCCCTTTCTCCCCTCGAACTACTTTCATCAGACAATGCAGGGTTCGGCCTTTTCGGTGTAATCCAGAACAGTGGTGTTCAATCTCCCCCCGACAGCTCAGGATGATCTCAGGGCTCAAAGAAAAGTCTTCCATCAACATACGTCGGTAATCCAACATCTCCCCCTGGCACTCACTGCTCACTTGTCGCCCTACGTTAGGATTTAAGCCATTACATTATGGTGAGCATTAGGATCAAGTATCACCACATATGAAAAGTACACATTTCCCCCCGGAATAAACCAGTCACATTATTATCTAGACTGAAAAGCTTAGAATTTAGCAAAAACTTTATCAGCATAAAATGAGTTTAAGACTCCAGAGACTAGGGTTTATCCTGTCAGTGTTCTGCATTATACAGATTTTATACTACTAAACTAATCATGCAAATATTTTACCAATGAAAGTCTTATCAACAAGATAACTATGTGGGTAAAAATGAAAGCCTAAAACAATCTCTATTGGCCCACAGTAAAAGCTTGTGGAAAGACTACCATTTAAATATTCACTATAGCTTCCCACCTTCCTTTAGCTATAAATGCCAACTGGGAAAACTTAAGTAATGTTTTAAAACACAGCTTTATTGACATACAGTTGACATGTAAGAAACTATACTTTCAAAGTATACAACTGGGTAAGTTTCATATACATATACATTGGTGAAACCATCACCACAATCAAGATATTGATCACACTTTCAACTCCAAAAGTTTCCCTATGCTCTCTTGTAATCCCTCCCTTCCTTTCCTATCCACACCCCCAACCTCAACCCCAGTCAACCATGCTTTCTGTGACTATAGATTAGTTTAATAGTTTGTAATTTTTAAAAGTCTATATAAATAGAATCATATCATATGGACTCTTTTTTGTTTGACTTCTACTTGGCATAACTATTTTAAGATTTATCCATGTATTGACAATTCATTCATTTTATTGCTAAGTAATACTATTCCATAATGTAGATATGCTACAATTTGTTTATCCCTTTCAACTACTGATGAACATTTGGGTTATTTCCAGTTTGGGGCTATTACTGGTACATATAGAGCTATTATTAGTATTCATGTGTGAGAGTTTACATGGACATTCACTTTCATATGTCCGGGTCATATGGGAGATGTATGTTTAACTTCTTAAGAAACTGGCAAACTATTTTCCAAAGTGGTTGTACCACTTTAAATTTTCATCAGCAATGTACAATAGTTCCAGTTTTTCCATATTCTTGTCAACATTTAATATGATCAGTCTTTTTTTAGCAATCTGTATAACTTCTCTGAATTATCTGTTCATATCCTCTGGCCATTTATTTACTGAGTCTTTTTTGTGTTTCTTGTCAATTTGCAGTGTAAGGACATTAACTCTCTATTTTTCAAATACCAAAATTAGATTACATTATGCATACTGTTTTATAATATGCCTTTACTAGTCAATAATCTCTACTTTTCATTTTAGGATTCACCTAATATGCAGACCATAATCAATATTCCCCAGCTGTCTCCAAAATGCCCTTTGTTTGGTATTCAGTCCAAGACCATGCATTGCCTCTAGTTGCTATTTCATTGCTTTCAAACATCCAGATATGAAAAAAAATTTACCAAAAAGTTCTGAGTTTTCTTTAATGACTGATTCCCCCCTCCCCCCCACTTAACTTTTTAATCACTAACCAACTCTCCCAGCACCATTTATTCAATGAGAGGTAGAAATTTCATTTTTGTAGTCTATAGCAAATATTAAAAACAACCCTGGCTTTTCATACATCCTTCTTGGATCCTTTCTTTGTCAGGGGTTGACATTTGGACTAAACAGATCATGAGTCTGACTCTACGGGGGATAATCCTTTCATCTTTTACTGTTTAATTTCTTAACATCATCATTGTTATAATAATAACATTACCTATCACTAGCTGAAACCGGTTTGGCTCAGTGGATAGAGCGTCAGCCTGCGGACTGAAAGATCCCAGGTCCGGTCAAGGGCATGTACCTGGGTTGCGGGCACATCCCCAGTGGGAAATGTGCAGGAGGCGGCTGATCGATGTTTCTCTCTCATCGATGTTTCTGACTCTCTCTCTCTCTCTCTCTCTCTCTCTCTCTCTCTCTCTCTCTCTCTCTCTCCCTTCCTCTCTGTGAAAAATCAATAAAAAATATATTAAAAAAAAAAATAACATTACCTATCACTTATTATATACCTAGTGCTATGCCAAATAGCCTCATTCAATCCTCATATGAACTCAACATAGGTAATATTTTTTATAGATAAGAAAAATGAGGTTTAGAGCAATTAAAAATTGGAAACAATGGATACCTAGCCAGTTAGTTTGGTGACAGAACCGTAACTTGGAAGTCATTTCTCTCTGACCCAAGCTCATCTGCTAAACCAGTGGTTCTCAACCTTCCTAATGCCGCGACCCTTTAATACAGTTCCTCATGTTGTGGTGACCCCCAATTTCATTGTTACAAATTGAACATAATTAAAGCATAGTGATTAATCACAAAAACAATATGTAATTATATGTGTTTTCCGATGGTCTTAGGCGACCCCTGTGAAAGGGTCGTTCGACCCCCAAAAGGGTCGAGACCTACAGGTTGAGAACCGCTGTAAACCATTATACTACTCTGTCCTAAAAATGTGGTACAGTACAGGGTGTGGCAAAAGTAGGTTTACAGTTGTGAGTATGCAAAACAGAGTTCATTCTTGTATTGTTATTTATTTATTTATTTATATTACTTTTAAATTCTCACCTGAGGGTATGTTAATTGATTTTAGAGAGGAAGTAAGGGAGAGAGAAAGAGACAGAGAAATATCAATGTGAGAGAGAAACTTTTTTGGTTGCCTCCCGTCTGCACCCCAACGGGGATTGAACCAGCAAACTGGATGTGTGCTCTGATTGGCAATCTACCTGGCAAGCTTTTGGGGTATGGTGCTCCAACCAACTGCACCACACCGGCCAGGGCTTATTTGTTAATTATTGTATTATTTTTCCAATACAAACAACTGTGAACCTATTTTTGCCACACCCTGTAGGTATTTTAAAATACTAAAATATTTGGATTTGAGAAATATTCTTTACTTTGTAAAAAAAAAAAGAAGCAAACAGAGATATAAAGAAAAACAAAATTGGAGATTACTGAGCTAGGAGGAAGGGCCTTCAACAAGGTATAAGGATGCCAACCCTTCAATTCCTAAAAAAAGACTCTTAAATAACAAGGCACAGATGTACTCAAAAGAGCAAATATAGGCGAAAAGTAACAGTACATGAAGCTTTAAAATGTAAATCCAAAAAGGAATTAAAAGGATAAAAAGAAATAAACTCTCACCTCTATGCACAGCTGACTCCAGACACATCAGAAGGTAGGAGAGCCTGGCTTCCCGGGACCGGGGAAGGTTCTCCACATTGCACCGGTATTTTTTTAAGTCACTTTTACAGGATTTGGCCAATGAATAACTGACCTTATAATCTTGGGCAATCAGCTTCTGGCGGGTTGTTAGTGCTTCTCGACACTGAGTAAAGAAGGCAGCGAAAGAGTTGTAAGACTGCTCAGGTGGTTCAGCTGTTCCCATGTACCTCTCATGGCCAAGTACATGTCAACAACAACCGCCGTTGTTACCAAGATGCCTCTTTTAAGCTTGGTTAAAATTTAACGCAAGCATGCAAAACTAGCGTGACAAGAGGCAGAGGTAAATGGGTGGGGACCACCAGATTTCTATAGTGAACTGCTGATGGTTGCTGCAATAGCTGTCCTAAACACATACAAATTTGGTAGATTCTAATACAAGATCTTGACAAAGTACTCTTTTCCTATTTAACAATATTCCTAAAGTAAATTTCACCAGAATCAAAGTAGAAACTAACATAATACTTTGGAAGTTCCATTCTATATTTTTTAAATATAATTACTCAATAGTAAAGGAACTGAAAATGAAAAACATTTCTTCAGCTGCACAGAAAAGAAAATGACAGAATTAAAAAAACAACAAAAATAATTACTTTTAAAGGGAATAAAAATTTTTTTTGCATTCATCCAGGAACAGAATACTAAGAGTAATGAAAATGCTTAATGAAACATCTGCTGAAAAATTAAATAGCTAATTACCTATGACGCACATTGGTTTGGTTAGCCTAAACTTCCTGAGTATGTAAGACTGACTTCAGTGTAATTCTGATATAAAATTCTCCATTTTGCCCTGGCTGGTGGGGCTCAGTTGGTTGGGCATTGCCCTATGCACCAGAGGGTTGCTGGTTCAATTCCCAGTCAGGGCACATGCCTGGGTTTTGAGCTCAATCCCCAGTAGGGAAGGTGCAGGAAGCAGCCAATTGAAGTTTTGTTCTCACATCAATGTTTCTCTCTCTCCCTCTCCCTTTCTCTCTCTCTAAAAAAATCACTAAAAAAAAAATCTTTAAATTCTTTTTTTCCAATTTTACTCCCCAAACTGATTCCAAATTGGCTTCCAAATGTCCAGATATCACAAGTAACGCTTCATTTTCCTGGCTTAAGCAAAATATGCTTTGGTTCCCTACTAAAAGCCAGTGTATCGCCTCTGAAAAGGGTTAGCTTTACTAGTCATTTATTTTGATATCAGTTTATAAGAATATTATTTGAGATGATTTGAGAAAGCTTTTAAGAAATGAATAAGTCCTAGCTAGTTTGGCTCAATGGACAGAGTGTCTGCCTGCAGACTGAAGGGTCCTGGGTTTGATTCCGGTCAAGGGCACATGCTCAAATTACGGGCTCGATTCCCAGTAGGGGGCATGCAGGAAGCAGCCAATCAATGATTCTCCCTCATCATTGATGTTTCTCTCCCTCTCTCTCTCTCTCTCTCTCTCTCTCTCTCTCTCTCTCTCTCTCCCTCCCTCCCTCCTCACCCTTCCTCTCTGAAATCAATAAAAAATACCCTATATAATAAAAGCATAATATGCAAATTGACCAAACGGCTGAACAGTGGAATGACCATCAGGGACCATGCTATGACACCAACTGGTACCAGGCCAGCCAAGGCGGGTGCAATGCAATTGGTCGGGGGCCTGGCCATTGCCCCATGATCGCCCCACAGAGGGAGGCCCAGGCCACCTGCGGGCTGCAGTGGGTGGGTGGGGCCTCCCTCTGTGAGGGAAGCCCAGGTCCCAGGTGCTGGAGGGAAGCCGGTGCCAGCAGCCAGGGGAAGGAAGGCCTACTCTTGCACGAATTTTGTGCATCAGGTCTCTAGTGTGTGTATGTGTATATCTACACTAATAAAAGAGAAAATGCAAATTGACCATCCCTCCGCTATGCCCACCAGCCAATCAGAGCGTTATGCAAATTAACCCAACAAAGATGACGGTTAATTTGCATACATAGGCAGTGGGGCGAAGACTGAAGACAGCACAGAAGGAAGCAAGGCGCTGCAGAAGGGAGCGAAGCAGAGGAGAAGGGAATGGAGCTGAGGCAGCGGAGATGGGAAGGAGTGAGGCAGGGAAGACGGGAGGGAGCGAGGCAGTGGAGAAGGGAAGGAGTGAGGCAGTGGAGACGGGAGGGAGCGAGGCAGCAAAGACGGGAGGAAGCGAGGCAGCGAAGACAGGAGGGAGCGAGGCAGTGGAGAAGGGAAGGAGTGAGGCAGAGAAGACGGGAGGGAGCAAGGCAGTGGAGAAGGACTTCGCTCCCTTCTCTGCTTCGCTCTGGTCTCAGGAAAGCCCTATTCTTGCAGGAATAGGCCTGAGGAAGCCCTATTCTTACAGGAATCTGCCTGCAACAGGCCTCTAGTACATATATAAATATATATATATATATATATATATATATATATATATATATATATATAAATAAAAGAAATGAATAAAATATTGGTCTGTTTTAAAGTAATACTTACCTTTTCACTCATGGATTCTTCAAATTTATGGTTGAAGAGGCACTTATATACTCTGCCTTCACCAGCTTGTGTCTACAAGGTGAAACATACCCATTGTTATGATTATTAGGTAAGTAGTTATGCTAGACAGTATCCATAATCCTATATAGAATTTTCTGTTAAATTAATATAATGTGAGTACATTTGAACAAATGGCTCCACTATTTATAAAATTTAGTAGCCTTTAAAAGAAAATAGTGCCTGCAGTAAAGATAAAAATTTGTTTCCTAGATGTCTTGACTATTGCCATTTAGTCCCAGATATACTGTTAATTAGGAAATCAAGAGAAGTGGCAATAAGCCTTCCTTTTTACAATGTAAAACTTATAATTAATGGCTTTGATGGTGAAAGCTGTTATATCAAAACAGCAGGCAGAGTGGGAATGTACACAAGTCATGCTCAGTTCTTTGATGTAAAGATGGAGATTCTTCTATTTACAATGTTAGAGAGTTGTTCTGTAGGGTCTGTGGGTAGCAATAAGGGATTTGGTTTAACCTGTGTGGTGCTGTTTTTTGTTTTTTTTTTAATCTTGACCAGAAACATAAACATGTAATACGGCAAAGTTTTAGTCATGGAATAGATGTAAATGGAATTCCCTGGTAAACTAGGATTCCTATAGATAAAATAAACTCCCAAGAACTGATGAGAAGTTAGATAAAGTAGAAAAAATAAGTGTGGAGATTGTCAGAAGCCAAATGTTAACTGGATGTTAAATCAAAGCTGAGCATCCAGTATCATTTTCTGTTACCCTGAGACCAACTCCACCTTCCAGTTTTAGTAGCTTTTCTACATGTGATGTTTGTGTTAAGTTTTTGTTTGTTTGTTTCCTGGAATAGAGTATTTAAAAATATTTAAAAAGAAAAGGAAGAAAAGAACAGTTTCTGAACTGACTTACATTTTCACAAAAACGCTCCCGATCATCTCGGCAAGCAAAGTATAAATGCCGATCTAAATGAAAGTCATCTGAGGACAGCTCAGCCACGCGGAGAATGGCTTTCTTGCAAACCTCAGAGACTTGAATCTTGGGATCTCCTTCTTCTGCTTCTTTCACCAGGCCTTTCTCCAAACATGATACCACCTCACCTTGTGAATGTGCATCCTAAAATAGTGAGGATACTAATTTTAAAACTCTCACCACAATGACTTTCTACTAAACATCATTTGGTTAAAAACAACAACACATTTCAACATATAGTTAGCTTATTGATGTTCTATTGAGAAATCAGGTGGGAACCAACCACATATTATAGAAAATGTCCTCAATAATCTTTAGTTAGAATATAATACTTGCATGGTACAAATGGAAACAGAGATCCTGGGAAATTAAGTATAGTTAGTTAGCACTGGAAATAGAAACCTGAGTTTTTAAAGTTTAAAATGTCAGAAACATTTAAAAGAATCACATTAGCCCAATGCTCAATCATAGCTGATGTCCATAATGAAATAACATTGCAGAAACCTCTGTTCATTTATCTCGCAAGGGTATTTCCCACGTAATAGTGCTTTTAGTCAAGATACGAAAACAAGTCACAGAATCCATTGAGAAAATATATTATAGAGACCCTATTCCTCCTTTTTTCTATTCTACACTGCCCACAAAGATGCAAATATATACAATCTGTAGTATAATATTCACTTTGATGTTCTGAATTAATCTTATTGCAATTTTAACAAGATTACCACCCTTTATTCAAACTGCTTTTGAAAGCTTTCCTAAAGTCATCCAATTTACTTGTACATTGCATCCACAAGCATTCATCCATTCATTCATTCAAAATATGAGAAATTTCCCCTAGATATTTTCTATTCAAGCATCCTAATCTTCTATACTCAAAAGATATGCTTCAATAACTTGAGAGGTATAACCATTAATACAGTAATTCAAAGCAGAAGAAAATATAGTGCTATCACTTATTTACACATTCACACACATAAAATCTTGTTATAGTAAGATACCAGGTCTATGAAATCATCTGTACACAATAAAAAGACTCCTTAAACCAGATAGAGGAATATCTACTTTAAGTAAAATTTCAATTCAACAAAAAGAGTATAGCATTTTTCTATTTTGTTTGATAGAGTTTGTTCCCTAGCACACTACTTTCCAAGTAGCTGCATGAAATGTTCATGTTCTCTCCTAACACACCTGCGAAGAGGGGATAAGAGTGGTGTATCTCTTGGGCAGATGAGCAAACAGAGGCTTAGAGGGTTTATTAACTCATGCGAGTTGCAGAATGTAAGGTGCCTATTTAAGACCTTGGGGTTCTATGGAACTTCCTGTATGATTCTATGTAATGCTTACAAACCTGAGATGATCAAAAAGATCTCTGAAGATTAATTCTGAACAGATGAAACTCTTAGGGACAAGAGACAAAAAGGGAGAAAAGTGAACACAAACCCCAGAAATCTGGAGTAAGGCTTATTTTTTCTTCCTACTTTATGAGTGACAGTCAAGTCTGTCTATGACCCACTTAGGCAAGGCCTAACCATTTCCTCCTCCCAAAGGAAAAACAAACCAATGATCACACAGAGTTGGACAGAAACATATCAGGCACTTATTATATAAGTAAGTATTATATACAGCATCATCCTGAGACAGACAGTTTGCAGGTTTGATTCCCTGTTGAGGTCCGTACGAGAGGAAAACGATCGATGTTTCTTTTTCTTTTCTGTTCTCTCTCTCTCTCTCTCTCTCCCCCTCCCTCGCCCTTCCTCTCACTCTCTCTAGAATCAATAGAAACATTTCCTTGGGTGAGGATTAAAAAGAAAAAGTAGGCAAGAACTCAGCTTTCATCTCTGCTATGAATTCTCTATTTCAATGTTTCTGGTGTCTTTTGTGATCTACATCATTACCCAAAGAAGAAAACAATGTCTGAATTATTCAAAGTAATTGGTTAAAAGCAGGGAATGCTCAACTACTGAGTAAAAAGTATAATAGTAATAATATGGCACATGTCTATATTAAGTTCCTGTATGGGATGCCACATTCCACTTTCTCTGCAGACAATGGAAATCATTTACATTTTACTTTTAGAGATCTGCACTTTCATTTTTACAGTATTTATTTAGAAAATTCTAAAGATCTTAATATATAGTCTTTGTTCTAAATTTTATATATATTAACATTTGAAAACATCATCGTAATTTTGAAATCATGACATTTATATGTTCATACAAAGAAGGGTACAAACAGGTTAACCATGACCCTTTTTCTGACTTTTAGAGCAGGTCAGTTCAAAGCCAGTCACAGAGGAGTTTGCAAGCTTCGATGGCAACAAATTTGAAATTGATGAGCCTGTTCTCTTCTGTGGTCAGAAACTGACTCATTAATTTTCCAGGATAATTTTCATATCTAAATAACCAGCTACATAGAAGTAAACTATAGTTAGAAAGGCAGAAAAGGGCTGAGGACATGCCTCCTTTTTTAAATTTGGCTGTAGCACCAGAGTGGATTATATAGGAAAGAACATGTCTACAGAAGTGCAGGCATGAGTCATCTTACTGTCCCCAAAATACAAGCAGAGTTGGGGTGCCTGGTATAAACAGAAATTCACCTAACTGGTCACTATAGCAAAAGACAAAAATGACCAAAATATGCATGTTGATGGTTCATAGAAACACCTTTTGTTATTTAACAAAGCTAAAAACAGCCCTCACTATCATGTCTTTGGGCTCTAGCATTTTCTGCAGTCATTTCAGTCACTGCAGACTTAATTCGTACATGCCACTGAAAGTAGGTTTTATATTGACAATTCCAATTGCTAGTGGGAAGCTAACTAGTGATTCTCTTGGAGTCAACAGGGAAGAACTACTACAAAGAAAGGTGAATTGTAATGTTCCACTCTACTGCTTGGACCACTAATCACAAATATAAAGGAGTGTCATCACTGATTCCTGAACAGTGCGTTTGGAACACGTAGGTGAAGATACTAAAGAGTGAGGGTTGGAATTGGATATAATCTTCAATACTCGATGCAATACCCTGCATTATCAGGGTGACTTAGTGCTTTTGTGCCACTTCTAGAATCTGCTGGGAAAGGAAAAAAAATCTGCCTTCTTTATTAAACCGGCCTTTTTTTTAGCTGCCTGCCAAGTTCACAGTGCTTTCAAGATAGACTCAGAGGTGCCCTGTGAAAGGGCCAGAGCCCTGTGCTGGCATGAAAGAAAGGTTACTCGGTGACAGTCAGACAAGAACCAGCACTAAAACCTTCTGGCATACAATACTATGCCCCTTCCCTCCATGAGAGAAGCCTGCAAGGCCTGGTGCACTAAACAAATAGGGGCAAAGAGACAAATGGCCTTTATTTTCCTTCACATTTCCTAAACAGCAGATTAATGAATAGTGGCAATTAATAGCTGATGACATATCCGCCCCCGACTACCTCTCCCACTGGCATCTGTTACTTTTCAGGAGTTTCTTTCATTTTTTCTGAGCAAACGAATTCAGAATAAAGCTGGTCAAACCTCCATTTTGACCTTCTAGACAAGAGACCAATAAGGACAAAAATAAGTTCAGCTATAATTAAGGAAGAAAAAACCAGCTAGGTAGTTTTCTTTCCTGTCTTTACTAAAACTAGTTCTTCTGAGAAGGTAATATATCACATTTGTAGAGTACCTTTCTTATGACAAGCTAGAAGTACTTTCATATACCTTAAAATCTTCTAATATTTAAATATTTAAAAATACGTGAATAAATAGATAAATAAATATTGTCTTTTGTACTGGTGTGCTGAGTGACTTTTTAAAAAATGTTTTCATTGATTTTCAGAGAGAGAGGAAGGGAGAGGGACAGAGAGATAGAAATGTCGATGAGACAGAAACATCGGTTGGCTGCCCCTGCACACCCTCACTGGGGATTGAGCCCGCAACCCCGGCATGTGCCCTAACCAGGAAGCAAACCGGTGACCTCTTGGTTCATGGATTGATGCTCAACCACTGAGCTACACTGGCTGGGCTTGAGTGATTTTTTTATGGCAACAGTGAGGTATATGCAGAGAAAAGTTTTGAGAATTCAAGTCTCTCCTAACCCAACTACTATTCCCACAAGACTACAAAATGCTTTGCCAGAGAATGTTACAGGGAACCAGCAAGTGTTTTAGTATTTTAAAGGTAACACTAATCTTAGCAGATATTAATTCCCCTACTTTTCCATACTTTTGGAACATTTTGTCACAAACAGATAAAATGCACTCACAAGTAAACTAGCCTTAGACCTTGGGGCTGTCTGGACTTCAACTTTAAGGTCACCTCTAGCCCTAAATTTTTTGCATGCTAGTTATACAAAGCTTTTCATTTCTCAAGTTCCTAAAACCCCTCTGATGAAACCAGTGTAATACATACCTTTTCTCCAAGCCGAATGCTGCCACATTTCAGAATGTTGATGTCATTTTTGCAGTCATCCATGAAGCCACAGATTAGACGGTAATCACTGAAAATGATGGCCGTCATCTTGGTGATGTATTGGTGACATTGGTACTCAGTGATGTTGCCTCTGTGATCCACCAAGCAGGAAACCAAGTAACCTTTTCCTACTGGTTCATCAGCACATTCTTTAATCTGCTCAAGAGACAGCGGCTGTTTTACACAGTATTCTATTCTCACATCAAACAGCTTTTAAAAAAGAAAGAATGATATTTTCCTGTTGATAGTGTGTCATGCCTACTCATACTGTTTGTGCCCTCTAGGAAATACCTGATTAATGTGTTTTGTAAGAAAATACAGACATATACAAATGCTAGATAGAACTCATGTCCAAATGGAGTAAAAAGAGCTTTATTGACATATTTTAGCCTTACTGACATATAATTAAAAGGAGCTTTAAATATTCTAAATGGGCCCTGACCGGTTTGGCTCAGTGGATAGAGTGTCGGCCTGTGGATTGAAGGGTCCCAGGTTCGATTCCGGTCAAGGGCATGTACCTCGGTTGCGGGCACATCCCCAGTGGGGGGTGTACAGGAGGCAGCTGATCGATATTTCTCTCTCATCGATGTTTCTAACTCTCTATCCCTCTCCCTTCCTCTCTGTAAAAAATCAATAAAATATATTTTAAAAAATAATAAAAAATAAATGTTCTAAATGGTTCTACTGAGAAATCCCTTTATACATGCAAAGAATGCAATAGATGTAAGGAGATTAATCTAGAGAATAAGTCTGGAAAACAGGTGTAGAACTGAAGTCAGGTTGCATGTCCCAAGCCAAGCTACACAGCAAACTATTATCATTAAGTAAACCTAATGGCCAAAGGAAGGAGGAAAGGCATAATATTACTTCCTGACATGAAGTTAATGAGTTCTGAACTAACTATAAATGTGGACATGTGTTTCTGAATTTAGTAAAATCTCAACTTTACCACCATGGTCTGGACTGGAATCATGTTTAAAAGGGTGTACAGTGCAGCTTGGCATGAAGTCTGGGAAGGGGAAGCCACTGTAAACTTAATTTGGGAGGTTTAGATATATGATCTAGCGGATCAAACACACAATGATTCCACACAGCTAGTGGCCTGCAAAGTGCATACCAAACCACAAATGCCACTGAAGCAAGCTAGCCAAAAAATTCAGGCATAAAAAAGCGAAATCTACTTATAGGGCTACAAGCCTGAATTATAAAGCAAAGAAGACTGTTTGGGAAAAGCCTATTATTACATTTGAAGAAATAAAAAAGCAAACAAAAATGGTAGTTTTGACAAGAGGAAGGAGATAAATGTAAATATCTATTCTGAATATAAATGAGAAGGAAATATTTTGGTTGTACTGGTTTTTTTAAACCAATGGAGACCATTCTCCACTATTATATATTTACGTCACCTACTGTAAATATGTACATAGGGCAAAACAAATACAATCTCTTTCCCAAAAGGTGCTAGGTGAAGGACATACCATACACTTATTATCCTATAGGCCACTGGGTCTCTCTATGTCTAACTCCAGAGTAAGTCAAAGACTCAGTTCAAGACAGAAAGTTGTGTTTACTTTTTAAAAAAGCAAAGTTTGGAATTTAAGTAAACAGTCTCACACTGGCTTCAAGAGGCAGCATAGTTCTTCAACAGTAAAGATGAATGCAATTTTTTCAGTCTAACCTGGAATTCTTTTTTTATGATGCCTAAAAAGATGGCCATCAATATTATTCCCAGGAAAAGGATATTTTTTGTGTGAGCAAAACAGTGTTCAGTTTCAAAAGTAAAGGAGGAATAGCTCCCTGAAAATGTCACTGGGCTGGTGTAGTTCAGTGGTTGAGTGTCGACCTATGAACCAGGAGGTCACATGACCCAGTTGCAGGGTTGATTCCCAGTAGAGGGTGTGCAGGAGGCAGCTGATCAATGATTCTCTTGCATCAATATGTTTCTATCTCCCTCTCCCTCTCCCTCCCTGAAAAAAACATGTATTAATAAAACACACACAACAGGGTAGTGGTAGACACCTGTGTTTGAAATTTAATGAAGTAGAAGTATTCAGATAGGCTCTAATGCTGGGAAATCAGCAGTTTACAAATCTGAAGAAAGAACAAGAGCACAATTTGAATTGAACCCTAAGAAGAAATTAAATGTATATTTGCTTTTAATCACTTGAGATTTTACTGAAACACAGAGATGTAATACCTATTTGTATTTCAGTTCACTGCCAATTACAATAGGATGTTTAGCATTTGAATTAGAAGTTTATACTTTTCTTCAACCATTCTACTGGATAAAAGTTTAATATGACAGAAGGAAAATTTCTAAGATTAAGAGCAAAAAACAGCATTAAATCATCAATATATTTATGGGTGGGTGTTAACTCTGAAGTGGCTGGGGCGCAGATCCACTCTGTTTCTGACATGAAGGCTTGGGGAAAGCAAGCAGTATTTGGCTCAATCATGGGGGTATATTAAAAATTTGGTTTGTCATTTGCAGGTATTCTTGGGATATTGTTTTTCTCCTTCGAAGTAGGATTCCAAAATTAAGAAAGACAGGAAGGAGATGTAGGATAAAATATTTAGTTGGCAACTATGTTTTTCCTGATATTTAATTTTCTTGACTCTGATATAATCTCCCTCAAGAAAGGGAGAAGTGTCCGTGTTACCTGAATCTTTTACAGAATCAAAGCACCCCCCAAAAGTTACAAGAGGGCCATCATTACATACACATTATAAGGAAGTGTGTGTGTGTATGTGTGTGTGTGTGATTCCAGAGTCTTCTTCTTTTAAAACCTTTGAATATATATATATATACATATATACATATATATGTATATATGTGTGTATATATGTATATATATATATATAAAATAAGCAAACACAGTGAAATCATTCTGATGTATCTGCATATACTCTAAGCTAAATTTCCACATGGCAATCAAACTGGTACGTATAGCTATGTCGCTACCTAAGGGAATGTGATAAGCAGAATATTGAAGCTAGAAGCTGAAGATCAAGGTTTCAAAGACAGGTCATTCTATTCTGAAGCCCAAGAGTAAATATGAAGAAAGGTCACTGCTATAAAAGAATAAAACATATCTGATCTAAGATTAGAAGGTTTGAGGAAGAAACAGGTTCTACAAAATCCCATAATGACTTAAGTGAGGAACCCAAGCTGAAGGCTTAATAGTTGGAGCAGGGTCTTCCTTAAGAGCTCAGGAGAAAATGTTCCCGACTTAAGTCACCAAATAGGGTAGTTTGAGGATAGATCTACATATTGCAAGATCTATGATAATTATCTTTGAGGTGGAAAAATAGCAACTGTGTGCTCTGTATATTTCAATATATAGAAATCTCTGGCTTTCTGGAATTTCTATTACTGATTACAAAAAATAAAATAAGAATTTCTATATCACAATTTTCACTAATATTATTTTTCACATTAAGCCAAGAGAATTGAAAAATTTCCCCAATTAACATCCATACAATACTACACATTTTCATTATTTTTGTCTTTAGTATCAACATCCATTTATAACAATTGACATAATCTTTTTATACATATTTTTAAGGCTAACTCCTATTATTTGAAGCATATGCCTCTGTGGTTCCATTGATCAACTATATAGCCAAAATACTTAGGAATATTTATAAGCCTCTTGGGGAAACCATTTTGGTATGCCTCAGACATAAGCAGACTGTGAAAGTGTGAGAGCAGAGCTGAAGACAGAAGCAGTTGTATTCTCTGGGTACCAACAGAGCCTGATTATCAGCTTGCCTGAATCAACAGCATCCTACTGTAAGTGTAGGTGAACATTAACAAAAAGAAGTCTAATTACATTGGCCTTGGTCTATCTCTCAACCAATACAGATGTGAATTCCAAGAAAAGTAAAGTAAATGAATGAGTCATTCCTCCCTTAATGACTAGTCTGATAGAGATGTAATTTTCTCTTCTATGCCATTAAACACCCACAAAATTCTTTTACAACCTACCTCTGATATGGTAGATTTGCAAACCTCTCTGGCCACAGATTCAAATTTGGGATCTGTTGTTAGGTTCAGCTTATAATTCCACAACAACTAGGTACAAGAGAAGAAACAAACTTCAGTTAGACTTACATGAAATTTACCATCAATTTCATAAATATTAAGTGATTTATGATAAATTATGACACAAATAAATGATAAAAGTTCATTGTACAGAGTCAGATAAAGCATATTCAGACTTCAGTTAACGAACAGAAAAGGGGAACAAAATGCCACTGCATTTGTAGATAAAAGGGAAAAAAGGTACAGACAAAATAAAACTACTATTCAGATATTCTTTTTTTTTTTTTTCTAAACATTTTTTTTTAAGTCAAGAAAAAAAACTAAAACCAAAATCCCTGCTGTAGTTTTCAGAGAAAATATAAATAGGTAGCATAAGCTAAATTCTGCTTAAGCCCAAAAAGTCTAAGCCAAAAGCTCAGATTTTGGGGTTTAGTCACAGATTTCACAATCAACAGAACTTTCATAAATCAGTTTTATGAAGGAGAGTCACCCAGAGTCTAGTTTCCAGGTATATCTGTCTTCATTCCTTTAAAACCCTTGACACCATAAGGTTGAATTTACACTCCTTCTATTACACTTTATTCCTCAGTATTAGATTCTTTTTGATGCTATTATAAATGAAATTGTTTTCTTAATTTCATTTTCAATTATTCATTGCTGGTCAACGGAACATACAACTGATTTTTGTAAATTAACCTATCCATGAAATCTTTAGTCTAATTATGCATTTTAGAAAATTTCCCATAATAAAAGCTTAAAAAACTAGTATTGAATTTAACCAAATGCTTTTTAATGTGTCTATTGAGATTTAACATTTTTTTTCTTCTTCACTGTGATTATTTTTCAAATATTAAACTTAACCTCAATTATAGAGTAAAACCAATTCAGTCTTGATGTATTTCCCTTCTTATATTTTACTGGACTCAGTTTGCTACTAACTTGCTTAGCATTTTCTCATCTACAATTCATGACTGACATTGGCCTGTGCTTCTTTTCTTGATACATACTTGTTAGGAGATATTAAGGTTATGATAGCCTTGTAACAAACAGGAAAATGTTTCCACGTTTTTACTGTCTGAAAGGCTGGTGTTATTCTTCCTTAAATGTGTGTGAAAATTAACCAATAAATCCATCTGGTCCTGGAAGTTTCATTTTTGGGAAGTTTTTTATTTACAGATCCAATTTTTTTGTATCATAATCTTTTTTTTCTTTATTGATTTAAAATAAACATTGGGTTATTCAGATTTTCAACTTATGTTAGCTTTAGTAAGTTTGTTTTTCTAGGAATTTGTCCATTGCATCAACATTTTCAATTTCAGTGGCCAAAAAAAATTGTTCATACTCTCTTATTTCTTGCTTTAATGACATTAATTTATCCCTGAACTCTCTACTAGGTAGAAAGTTATTCAATTTTTAAAATTTGTTCCGTTACCAATAATGGGAAAAATTATAATGCCAACCCACGTGTTTTATTAGATTGCCAGGTCTGTCATAACACTATACTACAGACTGAGTGTCTTAAACACAGAAATTTATTTTTATCACAATTCTGGAGTCTAGAAGTCTGAGAACAAGGTGTCAATAGTACTGATTTTTTTCTGAGGCCTCTCTCCTCTTGTAGAAGGCAGGCCATCTTCTCCTTAAATATTCACATTCTTCCCTCTGTGTCTGGGTCCTAATCTTCTCTTTTTATGACATCAATTCTCCTGTTTTCTATATACTATTTGTCCCTGTTTTCCTTTCATATACTTACTATTCTAGCCCTTGGGGTTCTAAGGCACGTATCAGCTTCTTTTTGGGCTTCCCCTCTGCCAGATTGAGTCTACAGATGAATTTTGAGGCCCCCCCCCAATCTTTTGCTTTATATATAATGCCATATATATAAATAACAAATATATATGTATATAACAAATATATATAAATAACATATATATAAAAGCCTTTTATAGACACATTTTTAATCCATTCTTTTAATTATAACTAACTACACATAAATCCCTAGAAGTAGAAATGCTGAAATAAAGCATATATGCATTTTAAGATGACTGGTGTTTGTTTTTTTTTTTAAGTTTTTAAAATTTATATTTCTATCCATAGGCCAGAGCAGGGTTTAGCAAACTTTTTCTGTGAAGAGCCAGAAAGTAAATATTTTAGGTTTTGAGGAACCTATAGTCACTTCTGCAACTACTAGATGACTTTATAATGACCAAATGAAGCAACTTTAAAATACAGAAATCTAACTTGTAAACTTGATAAACACAGAAACAATTATTTCATATGGTAGCTGTAAAAATTTTTAAGTTCAAGTACAGAAATATTATTTGGCAGAACTTGCTGGTTTCTACAAAGGAGGGATATTTATAAATTTATCATGGCCCTTATACAAGGTTTATCAGCCTTTTTTTAAGATTAAGAGAATTAAGAAAAACATAATGCTTCCTAAAACATCAGGGAAAGGATCCCAAATTTTCTCATCATATATATAAAGCACATATGGTGGATTATGAAAAGTCATACTTACATGATTACAATCTGAAGAAATTTCATTTTCAGGCTAAAAGGAAAAAAGGAAAGATGATGTTTTTAAAAAATCTCAAATCTCAAGTTTTCAAACACCACCAAAATAAACTCAAAACAAGAAGTATAAATATTCAACTAAATATGTTTCTTCAAAATAAGGAGTAAAATGGGGCTTTTACTGAAAAATACAACAGAAAAGTAGGTGAGATATAATCCTTTCCCAACCAATGGTACAATCTGAAAACGGGGAAAATGAAGAAGAATGTACTAGAGATAAAGCCATAGTGACATAGGGTCCTTATGTGACATTTCATAATTCTGAAAGCTAAAGAGGATCAGGCACAATAAAGAAAATTAGAGAGAAACTAAGATGGCGGCATAGATAAACACCGGGAAATTGCTGTCTCCCACAACAATTGAAAAATCTTCTAGGAACACAAAACGGACATCATCCAGAACTACAGGAAGGCTGGCTGAGTGTAAATTCTACGACTAGAAGGAAAGAAAAGCACACTGAGAGCCAGAGGAGAAGCGGAAGTAAAGTGCAGAGGTACGGGGGCTCGCGCGCGCGCGGAAAGGGGCTGGCACCTGAGGACGCAGCTGTCTTTTTGAATCCGGAGGGAGTCACAAGCTCCCGACGGCTCTGAACTCCGGTTCCGGGAAGTCTCTGGGGACCCAGGACTCATACGGGGAGAAACTGGACTGTCTGGCAGCGGGCAAACTTGAGGGCGGCTTTCCCTCAGAGGTGCTTGCAGCCGTTACAGACAGACCCAGAACTTCCAAGAGAAGGCCCAAGGCCCCACAGCGGCTTGCATTGCTTCACAGCTGAGCCTCATCAGGGCACCTCCAAACTCCAAAAAAGGAAGGGGAGTCTGCAGTTCTCTTCGTAGCTCCTGCTGTGTAACCTCAGGCAGAGGCTAAATTAGCACCTCCTTAGATCCAAGAGCCACTGTACCCAGTGGTCAGAGGGGGACCATCCAGATCACAACTCCTCAGATCCATAAGGGACACACTCAGGGTGCAGACTCAGTGAGCACCAAAACCCCACTGAAGCAAGTCTTGCCCCAGAAGGGTGTCTCCAGCACAGAAGTTCTCCCACTGCAGACACAGCTGATTCTCACTGCCAATTGGCCTGGAGGTCAATTCCTCCCAGTGATCCTACAACAACCAAGGCATAACTACAACAAGACTGTACACAAAGCCCACAAGGGGGTGCACCAAGAGTGTCCACCTCAGGTAACTGGGGAGGCTGATCCACTGGGCCCTACAGGACACCTAGCACAAAAAGCCACTCTATCAACACAGGGAAGCAGCCAAAATGCGGAGACAAAGAAACAGGTCACAAATGGCAGAAATGGAGGAAAGTAAATGACTGGATATAGAGTTCAAGGCCACGTTTATAAGGTTTTTCAAGAATTTCATGGAAACTGCTGATAAATTTAGTGAGTCCCTCAATAAGTATAGTGAGACCCTGGAGGACATGAAAAAGGACCAACTAGAAATTAAGCATACACTGACTGAAATAAAGAATAATATACAGAGATCCAACAGCAGACAAGAGGATCCCAAGAATCAAGTCAAAGATTTGAAATACAAAGAAACAAAAAATACCCAACCGAAAAAGAAAAAAGAAAAGAGATTCCAAAAATATGAAGATAGTGTAAGGAGCCTCTGGGACAACTTCAAGCGTACCAACATCAGAATTATAGGGGTACCAGAAGATGAGAGAGGGCAAGATATTGAAAACCTATTTGAAGAAATAATGACAGAAAACTTCCCCTACCTGGGAAAGAAATAGACTTACAAGTCCAGGAAGCGCAGAGAACCCCAAACAAAAGGAATCCAAAGAGGACCACACCAAGACACATCATAATTAAAATGCCAAGAGCAAAAGACAAAGAGAGAATCTTAAAAGCAGCAAGAGAAAGACAGTTACCTACAAGGGAGTACCCATACGACTGTCAGCTGATTTCTCAACAGAAACCATGCAGGCCAGAAGAGAGTGGCAAGAAATATTCAAAGTGATGAATAGCAAGAACCTGCAACCAAGATTACTTTATCCAGCAAAGCTATCATTCAGAATAGAAGGTCAGATAAAGAGCTTCACGGATAAGAAAAAGCTAAAGGAGTTCATCACCACCAAACCAGCATTGTATGAAACGCTGAAAGGTATTCTTTAAGAAGAGGAAGAAGAAAAAGGAACTCTTACCATTTGCCACAGCATGGATGGAACTGGAGAGCGGATAAATACCACATGATCTCACTCATTTGTGGAATATAATGAACAACATAAACTGATGAACAAGGACTGATCCAGAGACGGAGAGGCATTGATTGGACTGTCGGGCCTTGGAGGGAAGGTAGGGGAGGGTGGGGGTAAGGGGGAAAGATCAACCAAAGGACTTACATGCAAGCATATCGGCCTAACCAATGGACACGGACAACGGGGGGGTGAGGGCATGGGGCGGGGGTAGAGGGTAACGTGGGGACAAGGACACATATGTAATATCTTAATCAATAAAAAATATATTAAAATTAAAAAAAAAGAAAATTAAATATCTAAGAAAACAGGCTTATTTAAGAGAGCAAAGGAGGTCCATCAATGATTTAAAAATTAGTCTCCTGTCACTATTAGGGGAAGCTGGGTGATGGGTACACAGGAGCTCTGTGTACTATGTTTGTACCTTCTATAATGTTGTAACGTCTATAATCTTGCAAGTTTATAATTAAAAATAGAAAGTTAAAAAAAACAGAAATTATATATACTAGTATATTCCCATGAATACATCTGTTTTGTAAAGCCAGGTACATGTACCAGAGATAAACTTCCGATTTCATGACAAAAAAGCTGGACTAGGTTATGCCCAATATTGCATAGCTTTTAAATACACATCTCCTTTATCCATTTTATTTTTAACTTAAAAAAAAATATATATATATATATATAATTTCAGAGAGGGAGAGAGAGTTAGAAACATCAATGATGAGAGAAGATCATCAATCGGCCGCCTCCTGCACACCCTCCACTGGGGATCAGGCCTGCAACCTAGGCATGTGCCTTAACCGGGATCAAACTGACACCTCCAGGTTCGTAGGTTGATGCTCAACCACTGAGCCACTCTGGCCAGGCAAGAATGCTTTTTGTTTAGGCAGTTTTCTACTTTATCCCTCCTTTAGATTTTTCAACCAATCAGCAATCCTAGTTCTTTCTCAAACAAAACGTGGAAGGCAATTAATATCACTATAAATTTTTACTCATATTAATTTCTACTAAATAACTTTATATTAAAGGGGCATTCTTGAAAGAAATTCAGAGCATTGGGGAATTTTCAAAATAACCTAGTCAAATAACATGTGAGTTACCACGGGGAAAAAAAGTGTCATGTTTACAATCCAAAGGAACCTATAATAGCAAACATATGATTGTTTTAATGACTTGCTTCCCTATATAGTGGTAGACTGAGTTATTTTCCTCAGTTGTCACCCTTTATAGGATTTGATATCTGGATCCTTTACCCTGTAACTGCACACCTTCCTGCTGTGGACTTGGCACACACACCCTGCTCTACTGACGTTAGGCTAGGACTTGCTTTAGCTAAGGAGATATTATGAGCATAAACTTTAAATGTGCTTGGGTGGTTGACTTGTGCTCTCACATTCCTGAGAAGAACATGTCTAGGATGCTGCTAGTACAAGGAGACACGCGGAGCAGACCTAAATCCAACCAGGAGCCCGGAGCAGAGCCATGCTAACTGACCCACATAGCCATGAGCAAGAAAAATAAACATTTGTCATTATAAGCCCTTGAAATTTTAAAGAAAAAAGTGACTAATATACCTATCAAACAAATTCCAAAACCTTTAAATTGCAATTGGTAACAATTATGATCTAATTTAATGAATTTCTTTGTTAATTACAGAGTACTGTACTTTTGATAAAGGAATGACCTAATCCACAGAAACAAATGAACTGCAAATTTGGAGACTGGTGTTTGGCTTTCATCGCTTTTGTTGCTTTGATTTGCAATCAACAATCAACTTTTCTTATTTTTCTTTCATTCTAGATTCAGAACGAGAAGATGACAACATAGAAATACCTTAAGAACAAGGTTATGATGTTAAGCCATTGATATTCATAGAACTAAAGAGCTATGAAGAATTTCTAAGTGTAATGGCAAATAATTAATTTTAGGAATTTAAAAGGGCTTTTACAATCAAAGGACATAATAGTGGTTCAGAACAGTGATTTTCAAATTTTTCCATCTCATGGCACACATAAACTAATTACTAAAATTGTTCAGCACACCAAGAAATATATGTTTTTTGCCCATCTGACAAAAGGTTATAATTTTGATTCATTCACACTGAATAGCTATTGTTTTTGGCTGTTGTCATTTTTTAACTTATTGTCTTTAGAGAGAGGAAGGGAGAAAGGGAGACACCTGCCTGACTTCAATGAAGAATGTGATGGTTATAGCAAGAAATAGTGAAAGCTGTCAACTAACTGAGCTAGGGGCTACATTTATTTCTTACAACACGACAGGCTGGAAGATAAGTGGTAATGTGTTCAGTTTTACAGAGAAACTGAGTAATGTGATGAAAGGTACACTCCTAGGAGATAAAACTGGATTTATGCTTTCAGTTTGGTACCTCCTCCAAAAGGCTCAGTAGGTCAGGTTAAGCACAGTGATGGGGAGCTGGGGGCCTTTGGGAGTTACAAGAAAAAGAAAGGCAGACATGATGAATAAACAGAACTAGTGCTCTAGAACAGCAATTTCCAACCAGTGTACTGCAAGAATTTTTAAAACATGTAATGCTTGTTTAGTCAAGGGCACCAACCTCTTTTCCCTTAGATTGTCAAATAAAAAATACGACAACAGGCAACACAATAGCTGTCCGAGAATTTTAGTAGTTTATGTGTGCCATGAGATGAAAAGGTTGAAAATCACTGCTCTGGAATGATTTGACAGATATATGATGAATTTAGATGTAGGTAGCCCAGGTAAGAAACTGGTGGAATAATTAGATCAATCAG